AAACGCATCCTCAACTGCTAAATTAACTTCCATTTAAAGTTAGTGCTTCATTGAATAGACGTACTACTGTAGAAGTGTGTACTAAAGAAAAGGGTAAAAGTAAATACACACGTATTTCACAATCTCTTCAAACATTGAAAGTAAACTAACACATAGTTTCGTAAACTGTGACGTTTAAATATCACATCCTTCAACAAATCTAATACGAATTAGGAAAATGATAAATGTGCTATCTTCCCCCCCCCCCCCCCCAACCCCCGACAACAAGCAATTAAGGTATCCCAGATGTAACCTTAGAGGAACAGAGCAGATATTTCATTGATATTGATGAGTAGAGTAGAGTAGCTGCTGTGTTATGCTCAATAAAAGGATATCCTCTCTCCCAAAAGGTGCGTGGTAGTGTAAAAACATCCCATGATAGTTGGTTTATGTTATAGTGACCCGGTCCACCGCAATAGATATACAGTAAGATTAAAGCCCAACAGGCGAAACAGTTGTGCATGATTTTTGGGGGCAAGAGAGGATTAACTGGTGGAGGTATCGCCTACATTTCCAGTACAAGAGATGTGCGTGCAACTTCCCGTGATCAATGCATACAGAAGCTTGAAATCAAGATGAATGACGAAAATTGGCAGCCTTAATCCAAAGGGTTGGGGAATTGACAAGAGTCTTGAAAAATGCAAGTAAAGTAAAGAAAAGAAGAAACAATGAATTATTTTTTTTAGAGGACTGAAAATCAGCTTCCAAAGTAATTATCCATCAAGTCCCTTAAGAAATCTTCCACTTCCAGTTTCCCCTCTCCGCAAACCCTCCAATCAAAATCGGATCTGTTAGATATTGATCATGTTACTAAATAAGGGGTGTTTTTTGACCCGAACTACTTATCAATGCTAATAAGTAGTCTAGTGTAGTAAAAACAAACAGTATCCATAACTTTTGACCTACATGGAATAAGGATGCACTTCTACACAGGGTGGTAATGCACGTGCATTCTAAGAAGAGATTAGGAAAGTTAAGGATTCAAGTCGATTTCAAACTTCTACTTTTAACGAGGAGGCCAACTGGTTGCCGGTTTACTCGAATCAATAACAAATCAGTGAATCGTCTAAGTCACAAATAAAAGGCCCATTTAAACTATTTGTCAACAAAAGTGAAAAGAAATTAAATCAATCGATGAAGGACAATGGAAATTAAGAATAAATATTTTCGGAAATATCAAGAGAATAATCGACGATTACAGCAATTTGTGACATTTGGAAAGAAAAAAATCAAAATAATACCATTTAAGAGTGGAAATTCTCGCCAAGTAAGGGTCTTTTACCGATCGGCCTTGAATGCTAGAAATTGTTGGAAAATCGTTATTTCAAAAGAAAAAAAGCGTATGACAACATGTCTATTAAACAAAAGTGTTGCATTTTCAGTAGTGCAAACCATGTGATTGTACAATTTTTAGTCAAAAAAACAGTAGAAAGTCAAAAATACCTTAATATCCGAAATGAACCCATTAGGTAAATAACATCAGAAAATGTAGACAAAATGCACCCAAATGTAGACAAATTAATTGTATCCATTTAGGCCTAGGCCATTGATTGGCAAACATGAGAGATTGCAGAACGTGAGCCTTTCATTATATTTACTCTTCGCAACCATATTGACTATTTGATACCAATTGGTTGGGTTTGGGAGTTGGCATGTTTAAAGGCAGATTGGATTTTGCAACCAAGAAAAGCATAAGTGCCGTAGTGTATTCAAAAACTGGTGGGAGGTAAATGAAGTGGCACCTTCTTAAAGCCCACATGATATTCAACATGAAATGTTGTTGTTGAGCATAAGCTGAGTAAGCAGAAGTGCAATCGTATTTGACAGGGGTGGCGAAACAATCGAATTCGCTAAATATTATGACCTTCAATTTTGTGGGAATGAAGGAATAAACCGTAGCATGTAGGGTCTGTTTCACATAGTTCTAATAGGAAACTCGCCACGAAGATGGGGAATTCCAAGAGTATTCTTTGTCTACAAAGTATACGACAAGGAAAACCCTACCATTTTGAGTTTGCCCCTATTAATGTGTTCATAAATAGAGACAAAGATCACGGAGTTGGTGACCATCAATACCCATCTAATGAACAGAATTAGCGACGGCACTGGTAAAACCTATTTAGCAAGGGTGACGGAAATAGCCCTCTTCGCAGACAAGTCCCCGTGTAACACTCCTCTCCAAGACGAGAATTTGAAACGCTTCCCTAAATACTCTTCAGAGGTATCTCACTTCGAAATGGATCAAGTGCTCATATTGATACTCTAATATAATGGTTCGCAATGTGTACATCAGAAACCGTGCGCGTTTGAGGTCCACCTGTGACCAACAGGGTGATAGCCAAGTAAAATTATTTCCCACTTAGACATTTAGGATTTCCGCCTGCAAATAGATCGTTTTTAAAAAGAAGGTGAAATATAAAACAAACTAGAGGAAGATGTTGTAAACAACAAGTTTTCTGCCAATAAAAAGGACGAAAAAAAATATTCTAATCAACTCTCCTCTGATAAATAGCATTCGCACCGTAGCACAGCAGAAAAGTTAATACAAATCATGGGAATAAAATAAATATTTCAAGATAAATCTACCTCACAAAAAATGGCATTCATTTTATGGCAAACGAAAATGTGAAGGGTTTTAAAAAAAATTCGTCGCAAGTTAGAAAGCACCCACCAATAAAGTAGTGGAAAGAGTGAAAATAGCCCTCTTTTCTTAATTGGCATAGCTTTTAAATATTTGTGTCCATTTAAGACAATAAAATCGAAGCGATACTAAAACGAGTCGTGAAGTCCAAACCTGTAATCTGACCTGAATGAATCACGTGCCCTTACAAAAAAAGCGATATTAAGCGCAGCAGAAGGTGGTTTTCATTGCTTTAGTCACCAACTGCCTAAAATGATCAACAAATTGATGATGATGGCGATGGCGATGATATGGCACTGTGGGAGTAGCGAACGTGTGGAAAAAAACAGCTAATTAGGTTTCCTACTTTGAGATTTTTGAAGTATGGTATCCTGCCCCCCCCCCCTGTCTTCTGACATATTAAAGAACTTAACGACAGAGTAAATGAGAGAATAATGGCGAAAAAAACACCACAGCGAAGTGCACTTTTGCTTACTGAAGCACTGACGAGTGGGTGACTCGTTCATTTGCGAGGTCAAAAAAAGGGTAAGATGGCATGGATCGGCATGGGCTTTCAAAGGTGTCGAGTGAGAAGAGCCAAAAATTTGGAGAACAACAATGGCACCCACCTTCTAGCTAGTACACTGATAAGGGTCTTAACCCAAAAAAAGATCAATCGATAGGTGACTTTTGTAACAGTTGGTGTGGCGAAAATTCTACAAACATTATCAGAGCAACTGTGTTTAAGTAGACTGCAGAGTTGATACGGCCTTTTGATTTGTTCAAATAGGTCAATAATAGTCCACAGAGAACAGGTCATTCATTTGAAAAAACGACACAATTCACCTTCTGACATAATAAACACAAGACTTTCGAAATTATGGTAGAATGATAAGCATGGAACTTTATGATAAAATGGAGCTGAAAACAAGATGACCCAACTAAAGACGTTTAGAAATTATATCCGCTTCAATGTGGGAAAGCCCTACGATAAAGCATGTCAGTCGCTTCAAGACCTAAATAGGAAGAAAAAATTTAAACACTCACCTCATTCCTTAAAGGGACCAATTATTTTAGATATACGAGGGAATTAAACAATCAAAGTAGGTAAATAAGCAGATGCTTTATCTAGATAAACGAGTAGAATGAATTATTTCGACATCTAAGTCCATTAATTGCATCCAACACAAGTTCAGATAGTGAAAATATTTTCATGAAGATGCAAACAAATCTATAAGACTTCATATCCACCAAAGTCTTACGATTGGCCTATTTCTTCAAATGTGATTTTTTTCGTGCAAAGGAGGTTAAACTAGCAAGGCTGTGAGAAGTGGTTGATCGAGTTGGTATAAATGTAAAGCGTAGCCAACAAAATTTCAAAATGAGTAGAGAAAAAAAAATATTCCAATCCTTAAAAGTTAATTAGAAACGCAGATACTATTCGCAACTTCAAAGAGGAAAAATACAGATCCGTAAGAGAATGAGTTACAAGAACGAAAAATCAAACAAAGAAGACAGTAACAACTAGTAACAGCGATTGAAACTTAGAAACATACATCTCTTTGCATTATTACGCAAAGACTTGCCTTAATAATGTGCTTCTTTTTTCAGAGTTAAGGCCTCTAAAAGATTGAACTAACGCAAAGGCAAGTAAAAATCAGTGCATTGTGATAGCAAGGCGTTAGCCAACAGTCATCAACGTCGAATATTTAGAAATTCTCGAACTCTGGCAATTGCCTTTCTGCCCTTTTGTAGAAACACTGCCAACTGTAAATGGGCGAAAGTGCTCAACCGTTGGTAGAAGAAGAACATTTATACGTCCCCTAGTTAAAACAAATTTAGGACATATTGAACTATTCGGAGAAGCGGGTGCTTAGTTATAGCTGAGGGAAAAGTACTTTGGGAATGGATAAGGAGGTTTGCCACATGAAAATCGAGTTTTTTACTTCTCTTCTCGGGTTTCTCATTACCTTCCAAATAACTGCTTGCATAATGGTATGCCAAGGTTATACCAATATTCCACAGACAACGTGATGGTGGAGAAACAAAGAGCACCTGACCCTCGAAAGAAAATTGTATGCGTGCAAAAAGGCAAAAGAAAGCACAAACCCTTGTGCAGGAGAGGTGGCACTCTCGTACACACATATGGCATAAAAGAGAAATGTGCTAATCGCACTTTGATATGCACTAGAACATCGGTGGACTAAAATTACGCTTTAATAGCTACTGGAGTCAGGTAAACACATCTAATGAATTACCTAGCGTGATGGATTGACTGACCAAATGTAGGTACAATGACTGACATTTGGGAGTGAGAAGAAGAGGGGTACATAATGCGCTATTAAAAGTCGAAGATGCGCATATTGCCTTCAGTGACGGATATGAGTCTGTCGTGATTCACTATTGGCAGTTCGAGATTTGCAGCATCCAACAACCTGAGTGAATATACCTCTTTTCACCTATCGATCTACGAAAGCAGTAGAAACCAACCACCGTTCACAATCGTTTCCTGCTTGGGCGGTGAACGAACTTCGCCCTTCACTAGACATCAAAAGTCCATTACCGTAAGAAAGCCGTGAGAAAGATAAATGCCTTTAAAAAGCATGTCTAGGGTTTAACAAGCCATTTGTTAAGCTAAAATTTGAAGACTTCATTTGTACGCAGTATGATTTACAAATTCTATAGACGTCATCTCACAAAACAAACAATATGCAACAATGTAACCAAAAAAAGATTTTCGAAGTAGATACATGTGATACACTGGCAAAGACTTAGATCATTGGTTGTAGAGAATGCAAAGAGAGAAAATAAAGATTGACAGAAATATGTTTTTGTCAAGTCAAACAAAGTAGGCATTTACAGCTTTTGATAAACTAATATAGAAACCAACTGATAAAGGTATTTGCCAATTCACAAGGTTTCAGAAAATTAAATAGTCTTATTATAAGTATTGATAGAGCTTCCTTATCAAAACTGCATTCCTTTATTGAAGAAATTATGATTTGGAATTAGCAGGCTATTGACAAATAATGACAAGTTTGATGACCGATTCTACAACATTGGCAAACACATATCTTCAGGAAGTCACAAACATATCACGTATCAAATAAAAATTTTGACTATAAGAAAAAACAACTCACGTAAGAAATTGTTTTTCACAATCCAATTGAGCATTGATAACAAGGACCTCCTTGTACTTTTCCTCCAGTTGGACCAGAAGGCGTCTAAGCTCCCGTGGATCGTTGCCGTAAGCATTCGAGCCAGAGATGTAAGTAGAGGAGGGTTCAGTGGAGGAGTGGCGACTGCTGTAGCGTGACGAGGAGGTGGTCGTCTGGGAGCCATTGACGCCCTAAGAGGAGGAGGGGGAGGAGGAAGGAGAAAATCCCAATGAGACAAGATATAAGTAGTAAAAGACTAACGCATACCCACTACAAATACACCCCTATTAAATCATGCAGTGAAGCGCGCGCGTTAGATTACATTGTAGGTTGTTTATTTTACATATTGGTTCCATTATGAGCTTGACAGCACTCATACCATGGCATCATGCAATTGAAAAGTCGACTACGAGGTTAAGCATGCCTTGACAATAGAAAAACCAAATCAAAATTGCTGGAAGTAAGTAATAAATTTGTGAGAGGCCGTTGTTATAATGGTGGTGAAAGGTAAATGTGCTCTGAGATCACAGAGGTTATCTAGTTAATAGAATGGTCGCAATGGACAAAAAAAGGAATTATTAAAAGGATGGTAGATTAAATCTGCCCCAGATGGGTGCAAGCATTTCTTTTTTCAATGAAGCTGAAAATTACGAGGAAAAGGTAAACTCCTACGTACATGATTTTATGACAAAGGACCGGCAAGCATCATAAAATGGCCACAAAGCTAGGAAATGCATAAATTCTCTGAGGTAATAGATCGGTGACCATGAATACGAACAAAAGCATTTCGGCAACCATAATGCAGTGTCACCATAAAAGGACTTGACAAAATAAAATCAATATTTTATACCAACGACGTAGTGTTAGTGAGTACATATTACTAAATACTAGACCACAGAGTACACATTAGAATTCAGAAAAAATACTAAATGCATTTTCTCTGATTATTGGGATGCAAGTTGCTTCGAGAGTGACAATTTTACGATCAACTATTTGGACGCATAGTAATATATGATAAAAGACGAAGAAAAAATTCTTTTTTAAAAAAAATTTAGCCAGCATTTTGTGTTAACAAATAGAATTTATTAAGCCATTTTAATAGGCCACACTTTCGAAACAAGAAAGTGGAAATTTAAGAAGCTGCTCTGATCACATTGTAAGATCATCCGGATTTGAACGACGATTATGAATAATCGATAAAGAATTAATCAACGGATAAGCCGCATATCTATTAAATCAACAGGATAAGAAACCTCTACAGCCATGATTTACTAACCATATATTTTTATAAATGATTTTGCAGATGAGTCGAGAAACATAAACGATTAAAAATGGTAACTATGGTTATCAAGTTATGTTATATTAGTAAAATATGGAAGTCCACCCGAAGTACAATCAAAAACAGAAAATCATGAACGAAATTAGAGAATAAGAACACATCAAAGCTAATGTCGATGAAGGAACATTCGAGAAAAAAAATAAGAGTCATTTCTGACCGAAAACGATTTGTTGAATGAGTCATAGAATTGGACATTGGCATGCAGCTACAAAATAGAAAAACAACTATGCAAAATCGCAAACAACTAGGCACATATACAGATATGAATAAAACAATCACAACGTTACTAAAATGCCCAAATCTCAGACATTCGAAGCAAGTGGAAAAAGAGGTACGAAAGTCAAATTTCGACAATGAATGCAAACGGAATCTAAAAAAGACCTGATTGAAAACACTAGAACGACGACGAGAACCAATAATGGCAACTGGACTTGGCTAGAAATCGAAGGAAGAAAGAATTTGAATTATTGTCATTAAACAAGTAATAAAAGCTGAAAGCCCTACGAGTATTGTGGCAGTCATAGGCCTGAAAAATCGAAGGTCATGGGTACGATATCCATAAGCATACAATATGTAAAAATTTAGCCGGTTGAAATTGGTCTAACTAAGGCTAAACGAATGCGATTTTCTCATCAGAGGGACTAGAATAGTAATTATTTGCTCTATATGAGCGTTCTTCGGGCAAACAAAAGCACGTCTTTAAGCGAACCAGGTGACGCAAAAACGAAATTGTAAGCAGATCAGAAATTCGATTAACAAATATGTTTGTATTAAGGGAAATCTGCCTAAAAACCTATCTCCTGTTTAAATCAAATGTAAGATTGACGCATCAAGGAAGCTTCGATGCCACAGAAGTAGAACCAGGGTTTCTAACAGCACGAAAAGATGTTCCTTTAGGCCATAATGGATTTTGATGGAAACAGATAACCTGGATCTAGTTCCGTCACGAAATGGATTAGCAAAAACAATGCAATTAGCACTTGGCATCGAAACAAGGGGCTTGAGTTAGAATGTAACGAATTGGCAAATTAGGCATTCAAATAAGTAAAAATTCAATAGTCGTAACACATATAAAAATAGAGGGAAGATAATTAAATGTTTTCCCATGATTTAAACAAAAGCAAACAAAATAAACCTATCTAACAATAATGCTGTTTAAAGCAACAACTGCTTCCTTACTCTGACATGACTAGAATCGTCGGTATACTCTTCTTCTTCTTGCTTCCTAAGACGTTCTAATTCTTGATGACGCAAAAGACGAGCTTCAGCTGACATCTTAAGAGTTGCAGCTCGTTTAATTTCACCCTCTTGAGCTGTCCGAGCCATGTCCGATATCCCTGTTCGGGTACTGTGTATTCTCGACGACATAGTGAAATTTAACCTAGTACAGGAAAATAAAAATATTTTAAAAAAAATAAATAACAAGAACAGTCTTCAAATTATATGAAGGTTCAAAAGCCATAATATATGGTAAGGTCCATTGAGGAGATATGCACTAAATAGCAAATTCAAATATAGATCAAAGACGAAGTAAGAAAGTTCAATGTCATTAAATTTAGCTTTAAATTAATTTAATACGTGAAACCTACACTAGTCACGACACACTAACAGGCGAAAAACGAGCAAATATCACTTGGTTAATTAGAGCGCGTTGTTATGGGTTTAACATAATATAGAATAAATAATTTAATAAAATGAAAAGACAACTCATTTAAATAAAAAATTTTGAAAATTCGTGCAAGCAAAAATATTTTCTGTTCAAACTTATTTGCAAACTTATCGCTATCAAGTAAATGGAGTTTAAAATATCAGACTAGTAAAGCAAACCAGCCAAATTTGTAAAAAATATCATAAAAACGAAATATTTGTTCTCTTTTTTAGGTATGTGTGTGTATTTGCATGCATGCATGAGTAAAAATAATCAATATAATATAGCCTTGCTTCATTAGGGACATAAAAACTATGATAAACTATTTAGATGCACTATTAAAATATAATATCCAATAATTAACTTCGTTCTTAGCAATTCATAATTTGTGGTCAGTTAACTGATAAGAGTTAGCATTCTTCGTTTACATGAAATCAATGCAAAATTTTTTTCATTCGATCGAATGCAGTTATGATGCACTCGATATCACATAGGTTCAAAGCAATGCAATGAAATCATTGAAGTACTTAACACTTGGTTTCCATGCATGTAAAAGCAAGCATAACGAGAGCGTCTCTGCATATATTGGTCGATCAGCTATTTAACCGTTTGTTGCAAAAATACTAAAATATGTACACATAAATTTACACATTAGGTCAGTCAATAGATCCCGATGACTTTCATATTCAAAGTCTCATCCGATATATAAACTATCGTTTACAAAAATAAGGTGAACATTTCCATAATTTTTTTATGAATAAATCGTTAATTAGACAGTTTCTATCAGTTTTTGCATTTACGGTTTATCTATTTCAAGTAATATATTTAGTCATGCATTTTCATAAGAATATTGGCACTTGTGGTGGTCCTGTAGTGGTAAACATTTGCAGAATTATATTTATTTCATTTTCAACATAAGTGCAAATAATGTAGTTATTTATGCATACTGTTTTCTATGATATTATCATGCAAGCATTTATATATACGAAAGTGAAAAAACAAATGCTATAATATTAATAAGAAATTTCAAACCAATTCTCCGATTTTATACTATGTGAAGTACGTACAAAAGAATCCAAAGCTATTTTAAAAGGTTATTAATGGCACAGGAACTTATAAGTCTTGACTTTGTAAAGACAATGCAGAATGGAGCATTGGAATTTTAAAATATTCATCAGCATTGAGGTTAGTATAGTGCTCTTATCACAAACAGTAAAGTAATGCAAAGCGAAATCCAATTGGGTTTGGAATCTTACATCGAATAACAGAGATGATAATGGAGGTAGGACAAAAGGGTGAAGTGCAACAACGGCTTAGATCTTCAAATTCATTATTTTAATAAGTGTCTGTTTCAGATATTCAATTGATGCTTTACGGCAGTTTTTAATCATGAATTATCGATCTTTTAGAGCACATTTTCTACTGCTTGTTAAGAAGAAAAATGAATTATACATATTTCTTTGTGTGCCGTCCTAACATTGCACTGCTTAGATAGCTCAGCTCCGTTATACTATTTTCAGTCAAAATTAATCTGCGATGCTCTAGGATACATGATTTTTTAGAATAGTACTAATTTTCCTCAACGTTGGAATTGACATAAGGTAGCACTGTATAGGAGAAACAGATCAGGGTAACCCCGATCAAAAAAATAAATTCCGTTAATTTTTGCAAAGTATTTCCATTTGTTACAATTGCAAATCTTGATTATGAAGTATATTACGAACAAGTTAATCAAATATTTTTAATATATGCCTGATGTCTTATATCAGGAATAAAATGGAACGATTACTTAGGAAGCATGAAAATTGAGAAGTATTTTGAGTTTATTCAAAATTCGTGGAAACTTGAAATTCTAATCCATAAGTTGGCTTATGCTTGTTAAAATGTTTTTGGGTTGAAAAATATTCTATATTTATTTTGTTTTTCTTCACCAAAGATGGACCTATGTAAGCGAGCGTAAGTAAAAAGGGCTCGTTAGTGTGTGGGTGTGTTTATGTGTGTATTCCAATTAATTTAAGAAGTTATTTGTTAAACCTGTTTTAGTATCATTCCAATTAGACATATTTTCATTTAAATACTTTAGTAATATTGACTATTTTTTATTTAAGTGCCGTTCTTTACAGATCCATACGGTATTAAATCCCTTATGACTTCAAATGACTCTCGCGAACTTGTATTTATCCAGGCTGGGCCAGCGTCAAATTGGATTGGTGCGCACTTCTGGAATTTGCAGGAATCGATTGTCCTTCAAAATCCGAGTGATTCAGTCTTCAATGCTCCCTCTCTTTTTCGTTTAAAAGAAAAGAGTGGCCTAGCTAATGCCATGCCACGTCTAATCGCCATTGATACTCTTGGAAGTATTCGTAGTCCCCATGTAGAAACAGCCTCTTCCATGCCTAATTCTGTCACTGTTGCTTGGGGTGGTGATGTTCAGACTATTGTGCAGGATGCTAAGCCACAATCTCACTCAAATGGGCATGATCATGCCCCAGTAGTAAATGGGGATTCTGAGCTTCGTTACTGGACTGATTGCTTACTCCCTTCTGTAAAACGTAGATGGAAAGGTGAGGAGTCTGTTTCTGTCATTAGAGACTTTCTCGATGCATCATTTCCTGGAGATCTTTTCGCCTCACCAACGAATTCCCAAAACAATTCGCAAGAGCATATTCAAGATAGCGACTCTCCTTCTACCTTATCGTTGTTCGCTCAAGGCACAGACCTCTATAGACCCGGTGGGGAGGAATTCGAGAAATTTGAAGATTATTTCCATCATTTAGTTGAGGAATGCGACCGTCCGAGTGGATTTTCCCTTTTAATCGATTCCGATTCAGGTTTCTCTGGTGTCGGCTTGAGGTTGGGTGAGTATCTGAGTGAAGAGTTTGCTAAGAGTCCTCTTTTCACATCTGCCGTCGCGTCATCCCCTCTTCAAAATCATCGGCGCTGGTCTATCGTATGTCTTAACCGAATTGCTCTCTATTCGGCCATGGAAATGGCCTCCAGCTGGTCCTCTTGTTCTGCTTGGTGCCCGCTGATGGATGTTGGGGATGTCTGTTCGACAACCAGCCGACTAGCTGCTGGATTAACTACTCTACTCACGCCTATGCTTCTCAAGTCTTCCCATGTCTACTCCGCTGATTTACATGAATTTGTTAAATCTCTCACACCGACTAGGAAAAAGGTAATTTGTTTTATGCTTTAATTCTATTTTTAAATTTCTCTAACTCTGCTATTTGAAATTATCTATGAATTAGTAATAAGGGTGACTATTCGCAGGATCTACTATTTCTAAAGCTTTGTAAATCAATTTCTTTATGTATAATTCTTATGCTACTAAGCTACAGGTTTTGGTATCATTTTAAGGCAGCGTTTGTTCAATGGACCAATTTCATGCACCTTTTATTGGTGAATCCACTTTATTGCTCTCCAGTCTAAACATGCTGTTTTTAGGTTTTAAGTCGATGTGCGTCATTTATTTTATTTTTTCCTGAATAAAGTGCTTTAAAATACTAATTTTGGGTAATGGCCGGCTTCATGAACCCTTCGTGGTGAGTAACCCGCATTTTACCATCCTACTTTAGTTGCCAGTTTACTAATTCTACTAGCCGCTCAGTTCATTATAAGTGCACCTATGCGTCCCGAATTCATGTACGGCTTTTGTGTCGTATTTCGATCGAATGTTCACATTTTACCTTTTAGCTTTGCTTTTATAGGATAGTGTCCGAATGTCAGTGACAAGTATATTGTTTTTTGCCTTTAAGGCGCCATTATCCGTGTCATATAATTAATCTCTGAATTTTTCAACTTTATATATTTCCAGATGATGTCTTTCTCTCTTGTCAACGAGCGCCTTTCTTCAGAATTTAATTCCAAACCCAAATGGACACATGCGAACACTTTCAGTATATGTCAGAAGACATCTCCGGAATTACCTTCCACTTATCCTCTTTCGTTAGCCTGTCAGTTCTCAACTCGTGGTTACAAACTGGAAGATGGACAGTTTATTTCCTGCCTTCCACATTCTGGTGGTGTAGCGTGTTCAATAGAACAGGGTCTTCAACCACGGTTATCATGCTGCCTTCCCACAGATGTCTTAAATGCACCCCATTCCAGTAGTGCCGCGATTACATCATCATGTAGCCAATCCCGCTCGCGTGCGCATGTCCTTCTCGAGGCTGTCAGTCATTGGACAGAGGAAAGCCAATGGCTAGCTCGTGGGCTGAAGCAGAATATGGATAGTGCCTTCCTCAAGTTTCATAATACCTGTATTGAAAAAGATGAGTTAAAACAAATTCAAGAATGTGCTGTGGATAGGCTCGTTGAGGCGTACGCTTCAATGGATGGTTGAGACTGTGTGCTAGCACTCCTGATTCGTGGCAACTTGCAATGTATATATTGTTTTTAGATATTTAAGCTTGTCCTAAATTAATAAATTGTTTATTTTGGTTAGTTCGCTTAAATTTGGTGAAGGGACTAGAATAAGCTTATCTAAATCAAACGTATCCGTCTAAGAGTTGCAGAATACAATCCTCTTACCTTACTTCCAAGTGCTGGAAAATGGTGAAAAAATTTTATTTAGCTCTTCTTGTTGCTGCATTTTCCATATTTTTATGTAATACTGAACAATCAACTGAATTTCCGAATTAAGTTAAGTGAAATTTCGGCTTCACTGACAATTCGCTACTGAACGTTCTCGTAGCTTTTGTAGGTAATGCACCTTATACTCGCTTAATGTGTCACCCCATCACAAAGGACGATGGAAAGCTGGCTATTTCTGCTATTACCTCAACCAAATATCTATATGCTTCTTTCAAGCGCTTTTAGAAGGCTGCAGCACCGTTTATTTGCGTAAAAAACAAAGCTCTCATCTATAGGATTTCTATGATGGGTCTTAATCGGTGGCGATATTCTCAACCAAATAAAACTGTGAAATCAAACCTTTGAACAATTAAAATGCTATACGAGGTTGGGAAATGCCAGTTTATACAAGTCTATAGTGTTATAGGCTTTGATTTTGCCATTCTATGGTCAGAGTACTTATTGCATATTGAAGAACAGTTGTGCATGAAGGTTCAAAATATAAAGAGGAAGGCAAATTGCGAAAGCACGGAATGGAGTTCATCGGTTTGACCTAATTCATATATCACGAGGCCACCTGCAGACCCACATGAGAGCACGTCAAGTTGACTGGGAATTAGCCTTGTTATTACTCAACCGAAAATAATATGGGTCGCTGCACTTTGCTGCTTTATTTCTGCCGGTTTTCTTCTGTGGTATCGGACTGAAATAAAGAAACAACGCAAATTTTTTGCTCAAAGAACAATAAACTCTAATTTTATAGGGATAACACGCAGAAGTTTAATAGTTAAGCTTTTACTACTCCCTTTCAACTAAATTACATAGGCCCTCATCGATGCACATTCAAGGTGGATAGAATATTGCCGATTTTTCCAACCTCAAGGTTTCCAACAATGACAGACCCCCCCCCCCCTCTGATAAGTACACATGTTCATTCTCAATCTAAAGAAAGACCAAAGAGGCCTTAGATAATGTATAAAACATACATATATATATTCAAAAATGCAAAATCCAGTTTAAAATGCTGTTTTAAGAAAATAATAGAATAAAATGCTTTCACAACACGCCCTTGAGCAGATTGTCGCAGATCTTGGTTAGCTCCTCATTCTCCTTAGCCTATATATAAAGAAAAAAATTAATTGTTAAATAATGAACGTTTGTCAGTAGAGTAAGTGGAAAAAAAGAGTAGTGACCTTTTGTTCGAGATTTGCTTCGAGAGATCTCTGCTTTAACTCTAATTGTTTAAGTTGCACACGCAGCTTGCTCAATTCCTTGTCCAATTCCGTCTTCGTAATCTCCAACTTTTCAACAGCTCTGCGAGTGGAGAAAAGGAACCAATAAATAAATTAACAAAAAATAAGTCCGAATAAAAACATTACCGTTTAACTTACCTTTGAATCTTGTCAATGCAGTACTTTTTATACGTCTGGCCCTTGTCCAACAGACGCAGGTACTTCTCTTTCATAATTTCCGTGCGCTTAATGATCAGTTCCTGGTTCTAAGAATAGGACACAGCATGTAATATCGGTTGAATTCACACTAGCAAAGGTATAGAAGGTACCTACAGTTCTACGTTTCTCAATCTCCTCCCTTATACGCTCCTGGCGTTTTTGCGATTCCAAAGCAGCCGCGTGAAGTGTGGCTGCTTGGCGACGTGCATCATGGGCCTCCTGATCGGCTTGAGACCCGGCACTTGCGGTAGCGAAATGCATTCCACTCTGATTATCCAGTGCCTCTTCAAAGGTCGACCGGTATTTGGCTAATACAAGCCTAACATGGAAGATATGAAAGATAAGATAATTTTAATCGAAACTACAAGTAGAAGAAAAGAATTCATTAGCCAGGGATTCTAGTTCATCGACTTTTTATTGCATTACAAAGTAGTGAACACAAGCATTAGACAAGGTGTCTACTCGTTTACCTCCCCATGACTAAAAAGGCTGTTATACTATTCAATATTACGAAAAACTCATGGCCACAATCAAAGAGGTCCTACATGAGTGTAGAAAGGTGAATAAACACTGTATTGCAATTTACAAGCAGTAAATACATACTATTACGAATAAAATCATACTGGACACTCAAAAGAGTACGTAATAAGCGTTGAAAGTGCTCACATCAACTTCACTACACAATTCGGCACATCTCTTATCATGGCCGCACTGCATAGCATATTTACCTTCAAAACCTCAGTACCTCTAATACAACTTTATTTTGCAAGGAGTTAGAATTGTTGAGGCCTCAGGGTGGATTACTTTCAAAATACTGCCAATAAGCGATAGTTTTGTGGTAATGAAATTTCCATATTAGGCTGAATTCATTCAAATCCATTGTAGAGGTAAAAGTGAAATCAGTTGTTTGTAATTTTGAAATAAGATGGAAACATTGAAGAGCATACATTTAAAAATCCATTTACTTTTACAAATTGATAATTGAATTATAACACCCTTTGGAAAAAAACTATCTCTCCCCAATCGCATTCAGTGAACAAAAACTACGAGAAATGAGGTATTAAAAGATTATCAGGACAGAAAATTAACGAGGCAATAGGATATAGTTAGATTCAATTTTTATTCTGTTATTTGGATTTCTCTTTCAGAAGAGCTAATTTTATCATCCCGAAATAAATAGGAAAAAAAACAAGGCGGGATTTCGAATCAGCAAAACAAATAGTGCATTGAACCAAAATGAGCAAGACTCACCCCAGGACATCCTTCTTTTTCCTAAGTGCTTGAACTTCCTCAAGAAGTCTAGCCTTCTCTTCTTCCGCTGATTCGTCAATTTCAGAAAGTTGCTGCTGAGAGTCTGTTGATACTTTTGACGGTTTACAAAATGCCTGTGGTGATGTAGATGGCATTAGTAGGGATGGTTTAGTTCCATGATTGGCAACAATAGATGGAGTCTGTAAGGGTAAAACACAAAACAAAAGATTCATTATACTCTATTAGACTGTACTGAAATATAGGAGATTGCATACCTCCCCATTAAAACCTAGGATCACACATAAGCATAAACATCTAATTAACATGTTAATAGACACAAAGGGAGCGCAGTCAAGCACAGATAAGATTTTGGAAAAGATAACCTTATCAAATTTCAATGTGAACAGTGTTCTCACCACAAAGTGCGTTGCAAAGTGAAATAAAACCAGCATGAAATAATCGAATTTCTGCTCTGTTTAAAGGAGACAATACACATCCACTTCTGTAATATTAACCCAATACTCAAATTAAAAAAGAGGAATTTTAATCTTAAAACAACAGACAGACCAAAAGAGGGGGGGGGGGTAGAAAATAACTTGCTTGGAAAGAAATCTGTAGAAATGAAAGTGGACTTTTAACACCACGTTTCTCATTAGCATAATAAATCCAAAAATAACTAAAGCGAAAAATTTAAATAATAAACAAGGCATGATTTAAAAAGAATTTAAAAGGGAAGTTTGTAAAATTCAACAATTTCTAGAAATTTTGAACACACACCATATAGATATTGCTTTCTCTTAAGGCCAAAGATAACACCAAACACATACCTCCGGAGCAACGTTCTCTTTGTTGTCTGGACCGTGCTCAATAGATTTCACATCTCCTGAAACTTGATTGGCGCTTTCACCATCCAAGTGGCATTTCGGAATGAGCGGACTCTAAAATAGCACAATTTGTTCATAATTACAAGATGATAATTCATGTATAACAATTAGCATTTTTGGTAGCTGCATTATTCTGAGTGTTTATAGATAAAAGTGACTATGTGTTTAGATTTTGCATCGAATTCTAAGGGATTCCAATTATTCTTGTTTAACTTGTAAATTGAATCCCTAATAAGGCTAATTGATGCGTGTATCTACTGTCAAGCTATTGGCATTTTCAATTCTATTCAACTATTCTAACTTAATTAAATTGTATTGAAGTCTAAGCAGTACGATATTTTACAATAAAGGGAGTGCGATAGACTTAACTCCACGTGGTGCACCCTGGGCAACGTATACGCATAAGGGAAAAAAGTCTATTAACTGGCAGTTGGCTTCTGACCTCAAACTACCATGACCCCATTGTGTGTCATTTTCGACAACTTCCACAGCTCCTATCTTATCTTTTCTCTGCCATTGTGTCTGTCTGTCTCTTTTATATCGATGAATAACTCTTCTATCCCCCCACTCTAACTCTTCCAACTTCGATGTCAAGCCCCTCTGTGAAACCTGAAGTCAGCTAAAGTGCTAATGAAAGCTATCATGAAGCCTACCATTTGATATAAATAAATAAAGATCTAACAATAAACCCCAGGTAGACACAATACTTAAATAGAACCCAATGGTTGACCAATAAGTAAAAAGGCAAGTAAAATATAATCTACATAATGACGTCTTACCGCTTGGCCCTTATCATCAGATTTTGATAGATCATCCAGTGCAATCTTGGATGATCGCCTACTACCTGAAGCAACGGGGCATCGGATCTAAAGAAGGCATACATATGGTACTTATATATTTGTCAGTAAACATGTAAGCAGATGGAGTAGCCAATCAACTTACTATGGGTGGTGTCCTTTCTAATTGCCCACTTCTTGACAAAGAGGCTTGAAGATGAGGTGAAGGTTTGTCCAAAGTGATTGTTCGTCTTCTTCCAGTTGTTCTATTGAGTGAATTTTCTATACTTCGAGGAGAAGTAGATACCCTGGCCATACACTCCGCCTCTTCTGCATGTGAAAGCGATTTTCGAATTATCGCGTTGCTGTCCGTTGAATTTCGACGGGAACTTGAACCTTCTGAGGGAGATCTCTTCAGAGAACGTCGAGATCTATTCAAGTCTTCAGAGTTGTCGTCAACCATACCCAAAACTGAGAAACAAGGAGATGCTGAGATTCGCACGGATTTCGCAATAGATTGGGGAATTTTCAATCCTGAAGTCTGAAGTGACAGCAATATCTATTAAAAGCACTATAACTAATGAAAACAAACAATATTTTCGTTAAATTAAGGATGGGAAAGATATTTCATCTCCATATTGATTTACATTTTATCTTCACCAGCTGCGGCAATATTATTAGATGACTGAAAAAATTCGCCAATTTGCCTCTTGAAAAATGGTTAAAAAAGTATTGATTTCTGATTACCATTCGTTAGTCTTATAATTGTCGTTACATAGGATCTTATTTCACGTTTTATAAAACAGGCGAATAGTTGGGAGCATGTGTTGTCAAATTCCACTACACTACTTCGATTCAGCAGAGTTACACTTAATTATAAGCACCCACAAGGACTCATTAAGGCTACGTAATGCTAATTTTAGCTCAATTCCAGTCAATGCTAATTGAAGTATCTACAATATTAAGAATCAGAACTCTTACCAACTATAAAAGACGATCAGCAGAAAAAAGTTCAATTCAATATCCTCCCTCAGTTAAATAGATAACCAACTTACAATACTCACATCAGCCTTGTCATCAGTTTCCTCCGCGGTAGAACCCATAGGAGACTTGTGAAAATCTGTACCTTGAATACTCTCTGAAACCGGTTCGACTTTAATATTTCCAACGATTGAGGAATGCTCAGAAGCACCTCGATAGAGTTTCATGGCAGAATTATTTTGAGCTGTTGTTTCTACTAACTCAACCTCCACGGGAACGTCATTAGACGAGGATAGAACAACTGGAACCATTTCAGCTAAGCTTTCGCTTTTTGGCTCCTCGCAAACTTCTGTTAAAGGCTCAGTAATAAAAGGATCAACACAGAGAAGATTCTGAGCATTCGAATTAAGATCAGTTGAAACCCTAGGTTCTGACAAGTTTGTAGAATGCTCTGAAGCGTCAATATGCATATATTCACCTGTGGTACTAGGATGTGTTGTGGCATCAACCGCTAATTCATTACACAATTTTCCTGAAATTTCTGCAGAAACATTTGAAAATCTAGATTTTGGAAAATCATTGCTTTGGTATAAAAGCGCCGTTTGAGCGTCTTCTGGTGAAATTCTGACTCCCAATATATCATGAGGAACACTGTGTTCCTGCAGTTCGGAACCAACACGAGCATCTTCATGAATAATAGAAGCCGGGGATTTTGTAAATTTTAATTGCTCGGAAACCTCTAATTGGATGTTTCCAGACGAAGTTGCAGAGACTGAAAGTACCTCAGCATCACAAAATTCTTGGGCAAGGCAAATACTCTCATGTTCTCTTGAGATTTGGGGCCGATCAACCTTTGATGAATCATGAGAAATGTAAGACACCTGTGGTTCAAAATCCGCTTGGATATTCCTAGAAACATCTGAATCTCGAACACTGGGCAACCCTGATTGCTCGTAAGCCTCAAATTGAATCTCCTCGGAGACCATACCAGGAATTGATACAATTTCTCCCACTGGTGATGTATGAGTAACACAAAATTCTGGCTGTTCAGACAGCTCCAACTGTAGTTCATGCTTTTGGAAACGAGCAGAGGTTTCCTCGGGTTGAGCTGAAATGGCATTCGGTAAATCGGGGGGAGCAGAAAACTCAACTTGATCCACTTGTTGGTCTCTGAGACTGATATCAGAAATAGATTGTACGTCGGTTTCAGGCAATTCTTCAACAGAATATAATTCATGGTGATCAGGAATCTTCAAATTAATATATTGAGGAACATCTGGAACTACAGAATCCAGTAAACCTGTCGATAGTCCAGCAGATCCTATTTGATAGTCTTCAGGTATCACACTAGGTACAAAAGAAACCCCACGTTGGGATAATGTAGTCTCTTGAAAGTTTGGTTTCAACTGTTCTGAAACCTCAATTTCAACATCTCTGGCAACTTCTGAAATTTCAGTTTCGGCTAATCCGGAAACTTGTAGTGGTTCAATATTCTCAAGTGGAATGTTATCAGCTTCTGTTAATATAACTTGAGAAGATAGTCGTCGAGAAACTTCTGCTTGACTATAATCGGTAACACGAATTTCTTTAACCCCAGTCTCTGAGGTTTGCTGAGAAGACTGCTCTAGTTCTTGTTTAGAAATGCATCCAGTAGGAAGTGGTAAAACTCGAACAGCAGGTAGCACTGGAGGAGAAAATAAACTGGGTTGAACAACTTCCTCAGCTTGAAGTGGTGGAACTACAATAGGAAGACATGATTCAGGATTGTTTTGAATACCTTCTGGAACATTATCATCTTCAGGCAAGAGCCGATGTGGTTCCTCGGAAGCCACAATATTGTGCTCCTCGGACTGTTCGACAAAATTCATCTGATCATCGTTGGAAATAGTTTCCGGCAATGCTTGTGAGGAATATTGCCCCATTTTTCCACAAACGGCTTGCACCTCATTCGTGGCATGAGTATCTGAAAAATCGGTTGTTGGCATAGACTGAGAAACACACCCACTTGTATCTGCCTGCTGAACTTTAGCAATGATTGGCTCACGATTTGAAGTATCTAAAACCTTTTCTCTACCCATAACTTCACTAGTAACGACTACACCAGGATGATCAGATTGTTGGTCTGCGGTCATCAATACGACCTGTGATTGTTGTCCGAAAATTGATGAAGTTTTCTTCTCCGGAGTTTTATGAGGAGAAACGAAAGCCATTTCATTAATCGAATCACTCTGTGCATTTATGAAATCCTTCTTCTTGGCAGAACAGAGAACCTGCTCTTTTTCTTCATTAGGCTTTGTGGACATCGGAGGAGAAACTAAGAAAGAATGGCGCTGCTGATTATCCAGAGCACTTAATTCCTCTTTGCTGCCTTTCGACAAAGATCGTCTCGAGACATATCCAACAGGCGTTGAATCAATATCACCTGCTGGAGATCTAGTAAGCTCTTCTCTCAAATCTCCAGATTTACCCTGTGAGGAATAAGGTGTTTGTTGTTGACCAGAAGTTTTCAAAGTCCGCAGAGGAGAGGGAAGAGCACTAGTTGCGTCAGAATAGTGAGAAGTCTCACTCATGAAAGTGGCTTCACGCGTATCTTCCATCAGGGCACTTTTCAGTGTGATATTGGCAGACCTCTTGATAAAAGACTCTCTTCGGCTATCTGTGGATTGTCGTTCACGAGTTGGAGAGAAAAAGGCTGAAAGAAATAGGCAATTTTCTCTTACTTAATAGCAATAGCAACGTTAAAATAACAGTTCGCTCGTACTTAACACAGAAGATAATATAATTTGAGGTAAAAATAGTGGAAACTACGTGTCTTCATGATTTTCCGAACAATTTACCAACTTAGAAGTACATGAATCCAAATGGCTTAGTGCATCGATTAAGTTCCATCTCAACAATATTTCCTTCATGGGGTGTGCGATAGGCTTACCTCCATGTGGCGCACCCTGGGCAACGTATACTCATACGGCAAAGAGTCTATTAACCAGTAGTTGACTTCTGACTTCAAACTACCATCATCCCACCGTATGACATATTCGACTACTTTCGCAGTACTCACCTCACCCTTTTTCTACCTTCGTCCTTGAAACATTCTTCTGTTCCTCACCTCCCCCCCCCCCNCACCTCACCTTTTTTCTCCCTTTGTGTCTGCCTGTCTCTTTTGCATCTTTGAAGCACTCTTCTGTCCCCCACCCCTCTCGACTTCTTTCACTTTGATGTTCCTTCCCCTCTGTGAAGTCTGAAGTCAACTAAAGGGCTAATGATAACCATCAAAACGCATGCCATTTGATATAATAAATAAATTAATGTTTCCTTCATACGATATTACTATTTACTTTACTCATTTTGTCCTGAGGACCTTGCCAAATCAACAACATGTATACCACTATGCAATTATTACTTCAAAGAGATAATAAATATACATATAAATTAGCTGTCCGAATAAAAGAAACACTTCGCTAACTTGAAGTGAATACGCGATGATACCTGGCCCGATACGTTCAAAGTAGATTAGAAGGTCTAGGCCCTTACAAGAGCTCAAATCAGCGTCTTGGAGGAGGCTAATCACAATCAGAGGTTTTCAAAAAAATATCATAAAACAGGTTTGCATTCCATTTTCATCTAAATACGCTAGAGTTCGTGTCTAACCAACTCCGTCAAAAAAGATTAAAACTAAATTTCATAGGTCTGGCTTGATAGAACAAAGCTGACACTTTATTTCGGAATAGGCAACTAACATACAACAAATACTCTATGCTCTACCACCTGCATAACTGATAAGAGTTAGAGCTAGATATTCTTGACATATTGACAAGACGAAGGGAAAGAATTCACTCTTCCAGTTGTGGCTAGACCTTCAATCGTAATTCAAAGGAAAAAAACTCAGGCACCCTTAATAAATTATCCTATTGAACCTACATCTCAATTTACTGCCTGGATTTAAATCAGCTGTAGTCCAATGAACACAAATGACATGGAGTAAAAGAACCAACCTTCATCACGTTCGGAACTAGAATCATCTGCAACCGCAATCTTCCCAAACGCATTTATAAGACTCTGTTCACAGGATCTACCTCCCAAAGCTAATTCATCGCCACCATCTTCAGTAGCACTAGACACCTCTTGCACAAAACTGTCGCTACCAGGTCCCGCCTGTTCCCTAATACGTCTGGAAGCCGTAGACCAAGGTGAGAGCAGTGAGGAGACCATATCGGTAATCAGCTTGGAACTCTGTGATAAGAGGGGCGAGAAGACAGGAGCAGGGCGCTGTTGAGCTGCCAGTTCCTCAGCCACAGAGCCGGCAATCGGGTGGCCCATCATCGTACTCCATCCGTGGGCAAGTCGAGATAAACTACTTCGACGGTTGCTGGGTTGTTGTTCTATGTCTTTGCTGGAAAAAGAGAAGAGGGGAAATGGAAAAAATGGAAACGGATTACATTATACCTGCTACCAATAAATGGCTTCGATAAAATTGAACCCATAGCTTACAAGGCCTAATGAGTAGTGATTTGCGGGGGAGCATTGCTCAAATACCATTACAGACTTACCAATAGAAAATTGAATCAAAGGTGTAATATCATTAAAGAAAATGAGACACGGGAGGGGCTTAAGACAAACATAAAATTGAAAAAAAATCGGTTGTGAAGTCGCCTTATTCTTAGGGATCGAATAGACCGAAAACGAATAATCCAAATAAATCTTCTCACCTGGAATGAAAATGTTGACAATCCGGGATTCATGATGACAGCCTAGTAATGAGAATATCTAAGTTAATGAGTATTGTATGCCGCAGCACTTTATTTACTGAAGTATATTGAGCCGTATAGTTGCACTGCAATTTCGAATTGATTGGTTTTTAATTGATGAGGGGTGTAATATGACGTGTTACGTGGATTCTAATCTCAATTCCAAAGAGGAGTCAAATAATCAGACAATGTAATTCGAAGTTCACTCCACAGATCGGAGGTTCTTTCACGCAAAAAAAAGAACGGAGGCCGATAAGAGAAAAGGAAGAGAGTGGAAATGTGCTAGAGTAGACCACATACTTATCATTAATTTTCATACAACGTTACATTAAAAAAATCCTACTAAGGGCGTTGATAATGTAATATACGAACGTTGAATGGTTCCGATTCCAGCAGTGTATTGACGACGAGTAAAATAAGAAGGAGGTATGATACCCCAGCATCGCCTATGTTTAGTGAGATATGATTTTGACTAGCAATCTAAAACAACGAAATAGCATCCCACCAACCTAAAACTCGATGCAATTTTCATTGATAATAAGTATCAGGAGTACCCTTAGACAACAAACTTGAATTTAAAAATTTGTTAAAGAGGAGATGAATGAATAGCATTATAATACAATTTTAAAATAAGGTAAAACTCACTTTGGCGAGTATAGAGGTGGAGAATAGTCGGCTCCTGACAGTGATATCCGATCTAAAATTTTCATTCAATTAATAAAATTGCGTTAAAAAACAGATCTTAAACAATTACTATAACTCATCAATCACCCTACCTCCATGAATGAGAAAGAAGGCCTCAATTTTATATATTTAAACTGGACATTTACTTCTATGAATAAAAGGTAGCATGAACGACACGAGATCTGGTTAAGACATGACTTATGAAAGCCTCCAATTTTAGAACGCTTCAAAAGTAAAAGGTTGTAGTAGAGCTAGGTGCATTATTTTTAAATTGACCTCAGGAAGCGGACAAAATGGAAGCACGTTCTGGCATGGTCTTAAAATTTACGCAATGCATAATATTAGCACGTTGCTATGCGAAGTAAAAAAAAACGTGTCCCGACAGCCTCAACATTTAATTAAATTACCTACCCGCATCCATGCTTGATTCCAGCATCTCACGTCTTGGAGTGGCCACATTTTCTTTGTCTGAAATGTCAGCATCTACAAATAAATGGCAATAAAAGAAAAATCGAAAGCCAACAACCTTTGCAAATTTGTAATACTCAAAGGTAAGAAGGAGCAACAGCACTTTTTTGTTGAAAATGTTTTCACAATTATCTACGAGTGATAATCTCTACGATTTAATAGGCATCAGTGAAAAAAATAGATGGAAATAGAGTTTGCTGGCATGATGAATAAGGTAGAAAGAAGGCAGAATTGTCTAACTCAACGACGATCAAATGCAAGTTCCTTTCAAGACGGGGGTATGGCAGGCCATAAAGGAACAGCGTAATTAAGGAGATTAAATGATTCGAGTTCTAAACACATTCATGCAGTACTTAAGCTAACAAATTGTTCGTCAAAAGATGAGTAGTAGCTTTTAAGGCTCTAAGAATTTGTACTCACAATCCAGACGTCAATAAATGCTTAAAGCATTAGAAGCCATTATCTTCATTATGGCTATACATATTTGTTTAAAGCAAGTATTCCAATGAAGGCTCCCTACAGAATACCACACTTCAATATGAGCGCGGTTCTTAGGATATTTGGAACAACTGCGAGATCACACGAGTATAGCTACGATTACAAAAAATAGAATTAAAAGGGGAATTAATATATACAAAAACATACCCGTTGTCCTCTCTGCAGTCACTTCATTGGCAGTAGCGCTCGAAAAAGCTCTGAAATTGCAAAGAAAAACATCTTTGTAAAAGAAGATCGAAAGAGAAAAAAAGTAAAGCTCGTATCAAATTAACAATTAGAAAAAAATGGAATGTTGAATTAAATTCATTAAAACGATTTACCATCTTTATGCCTAACTTAATCGAAGAGTTACGAGTTTTGGCAGTAGTGTACTAACCCAATGACCGCTAAAATATACCAACTTACTTCCACAATCGATAATATTTAAATTTTTGTTAACTTGCCTTGAGTTAATGGATAGCTATGAAATCCCGACGGATTGGAACAATTTTTTGCCTTTCTAATTAAATAACGCCCTGAGAAGCGGGTGATTTGCAACCCAGCCAGATGAATAAATTTGCACTGACCTTTAAAACTGTAGACAAATATTTTTCAAGAGAGCATTCAATTCCTTCCTACTTTCCCTACGATTGTAAGTTCGTTAACTCAGAAACACTGTCTTGCCCACTATACTTTAGACAATTTCACCACAATTGCACTTTAATCAATTCCATAACTAACCACGATTTGGGAACCAAAGTTCAAACCTAATTGTTACTTCCTACATATGCTCTTCCAATTTCTTTATCCCGGTTTGCATATCGAACATCGTCTGCACCAACGGTCACTATACTGGTTATGGTGGAGCGAGATGGGTGATCGCCAGATCCGCCTATAATCTGGTTACTGCTCAGACCTTATTTCCATCTCGCACACACACTCCCTCTCTCCCTCACTCCCACTTCTAGTTGTCTCGCCTATATTATATGCATAATAAAGAAGCACTTACCACAATATATGACATTATTCTTACCCCCGGTTTAGACAGATTGAGTAGGAAACTAATTTCAGTTTTATTGATTAAACTGTAATGGCTGCCAGCCTTTACTCTCCAATTTGGCACGTGACGTTTGTTTTCATAAGAAAATTTGCTAATTTTCATCAAAGAAGACTAATCTGTTGGAAAGTTACTTAGATGGAGATTACTCCACATAAATATTCATGAAAAAGTCAAACAGTTAGTATAAGATTTAAAGATCTTATAATTTGTTAACAATTATTTGCCTCTCGAAAATGTGTAGAGACAGACTCAACAAACGACTGAATGGGTTTGAAACTGACAAAAAAACAAATGTACCCAGAATAGAAACAACGTAAGAATTCAGAGACCGATATGATGAAGTCGCAGTTTGACTCACACTACTGGAGACGAAGGCCGTTCTTCCATTTCAGTTTCATCAAGCAAAGCGAGATCTTCATCTGTAATCGTTACTCTCGGTAGAGGTATAGGCGTTGCTCCTGTCACACCTCCCACTCTACGAGGAGTGGGCATAGGGGAGTCTGCCAACAGCCTATCGATTTCCTTGAGTGACATCTGGATCCGTTTCGATGCATCGCCCATGATTGATCACAGAACTAGGGGTAAACGGACAACTCCGGTCACACACATTACTCGCTTGAAGAGTCAAGTGCTTAAGCCAGGAGAAGCTTATTTTATTAAGCTTCTACGTAATTTTATTCTTCAAGCTCAATTTTTTTTAAAAAAACTTTTAAATGCCATAGAAGGAAAGACTAATTATACGTGCTGGTAACAAAACGATATTCTAAGCCAGCGATCTATCCCACTATGTGAGTACTAAATGAGAAATAGGATCCAGTAATTTCAGCGAGGAGATTACTTGATTTTCATGCCCGACGAAAATTTTAGCGGTTGAAATAATCCCCTATTTAATTCCAGAGATAGACAAATGAGGTCTTCTCAATAGAGGCACTTATAGCCTTCCTTATAATGCATAACCAGATAGTACCTCATTCAGTACTTAATACCATACAACTAAAAGTAATATGCCTTACTTAATGGTAAATAAGAATAAAACGAACATTAAGTAATATTTACATGCATACATCTGGGAGAGGAACATAGCGAGGAAACAGACCAACAAAGCTAAGAATAGACTCAATTAGGAATATAGTTTACTTTTATTTCTCAAACCCACATTTCGTGTTTGTATAAAAGGTGGCGAATGAAGTAACAGTAACGTGTGTATACAGTGAAAACATTGGTACACCACAGTGACAACAGACATACGCGGAAAGTAGAACAGGAGAGGGGTGGGGGAGTGGGGGAGAGAAAGGAAGGGGAACGTCAGAATCAGTCTGCGAGGTTCTGTAGAAATTCTTCCAACAGTTTCTTCGCTTCTCCCGATTCGATCGCTCTGTATCGAATGTCTGCTTTGAGCGTACTCAGCACATCATCAAGCATGGAACCATTTTCAGAAGACTGCCTTTTCGCACTGTACAAAAAGAACGATTTTTAATCCACTGATGTACAATCATAAATAGTACTTAAGTGGCTTGTAAAGAAAGCTTACGATGAAATAAGAGATGTTTTCTCCTTAAGCATTTCATTGAAACTCTTCTTTGCCTTTGATTCGCGCTCCTGAGTCCAATCTCGGAACTCAGCTTTCCACTTTTTCTCCGATGAAAGAAGCTTTTCAAATCTAGACTCATCTTTAAGGATATCCTTCAAATCTCTCCATGACGTCCAATAGGTAATCTGTGAGGAAAAGGGGATTAATAAGACAGAAATAAAACGAGACAAATTTTCGAGAATGCAACTCACCGATTCATTTCCTTCCAGCATTTTGAGGAAGGCCTCTTTAGTCTTCTTATTAAGACCAGAGACATAGGTATCAAAGAGCTTTTCGCGATCGTTTCGGGACAACACATCGGCAATGGCATCCCATCGTGAATTTTTGCGCAGCAATTTCTTGGCATCTTTCCAGGGCATAATTTCAGATTTGATAACATCAGTGAGGAGGGCGTTAAAATTGGCCTCTGCTTCTTTACGCAAGTGAGCCTCGCGTTCACGATCTTTTTCCCGCATTGAGTTAGTACGGGCCTCTTCGACTTCCTTTTTGCGTTCACGGAGAGAAGCTTCTTGACGTTCGCGCTTCTCGCGTTCTTTGCGCTTTTCACTATCTTCACGGGATGCCTTCTCACTCTCTTTGGCCTAAAAGGAAAACGTTTGCGTCCTATTTAATGCGGAATAAACATGAAATAACGAGAAATAGAAATCGATACATTTACTAAGATAACAATACTAAGATTTAAAACTAGAAATAATAAATAATTCATAATAAATAAATATGTATGTATGTATGTATGTATACATAATTAGTAATTTTAAATCTTGGCATGGTTTTCGGTTCGTCAATCTTTGAATCCATAAACCAGTGAGTGCAATTTGCTTGTGCAATCTTGCAATATAAAATTGATAGTTAATGTGAATTTAAGTTCCTTATTATACACCAAGTGAAACAGCCATTTATATAATATAAAAAGCAAAAAAATATAAAAGCTTGTAGAAAAAATTATGCAACATTAACAGTTAAGTGACCTAATGAGTGATGGAACCGAGACATGAAAAATCACAGCCGAAAAAGTTCCCCGGATTTGGATCTGGCTTGTCGGCATAGATGTGTGAATAACATACGGAAACAGTACCCAAGACCAGGTAATACATAGGGCCTCAACATATTAGAAATAGGCTCACAACCATACTAGACCAGAGTTAGCCCATTTGGAAAGCCAAATTGGAACCTAAACGTTATCATCAGCGTCAAGGTCAGGCAGCATGACCAGCGGTCACTATTGTTCATGGTGGAGTTATGAGAACGTGAGGTGAATGATCGCCTGCTCCCACTTTAATCTGAACACTTCTCAGTCCTTATTCCCATCTAGCACACAACTTATACATTTTAGGCTCTTTCACATTTACTTGTCCTAACCAAGTGGCTTTACAACGATGTATTTTAACCACGCAACCTACAACTTATTCTCGGACTGAAAGTACTCTTGTGACTGATGTTTCTTTTCCACCATTCCAGTTCCCGATTAGTATTCAACACCATCCATGGTTGTCTTGACCCATAAGTATTGATATCAGCACAGCTTAGTTTCAATAGTCTTTGACAGAATGGAGTTGACACTTACATCGTCCAACTTTTTGACATATTCGCGGAACCAATCTTCTCGACGACTAGAAGATTCAACTGCCCTGTAACGAGAATCCGAGTCAATTTTTTTCTTCACATCCGACCAATGCGAACGCCTTGATATTGACTTGTGCTCTTTAAGAAGAGCAATAAAGTCTGTCTTGAGCTGTAAAAAGAAAGAAAATATTAAATAAATTTGAAATTAGGGATAAGGTTCAATGATACGATCCCGAGATTCCATAAATAGATGCCGTTCTCGTCGAAGGAAATCAGCATGCAGAACACGTCCCACTCTCCCTATTTACATGAAAACCAAAGCACCCAATGCGAGTCTACCAACATCGACGTGGCTTTACACATACATTTCGAAATAGTTCTTAAATATGACCGAGTACTTGCATGTCCAACGAAAGCAGATAAGAGAAATTCGCTTTAAATAAGATTTTAGTAATAATATTAAAACAAATCTCGGGTGTTAAAAAAATAGAATAAGTTCACTTAAAATGTATCTCTCACTTCGAAGTAATGATTGAATATAAACCAATACTTTTCTGCTTTATAAAAACATATCTAGTCAAATAGCTGGGCATTATTGCTTTTGACCACCTATGTATCAGTCCTACAAACCAAAATTAAAAGCAAAAGCAATTTAAAATATTTATTAAAGACGACTAATTTGCTAAAAACGCCCTAATTCGGTTCAGATAAGCACACTAAGAAATAGGTAAAAACAAGTACTCGGTCAAATCAGCTAAATTCTACAAACGTCGAGCAAAATCAGTTCGAGGGACCCTTGGAGATTCAGTGAAAACCTCAATCGGAGAAAAGAGAGAAGTGGAGAGATTGTCACAAGTAAAAACAAACCTTAAAACGGGGGTGAGAGATTTACTTTCAAGTAGCCATTGAATGTGATGCAGACAGACGTAGATTTTGGCGTAGCGGTTCTCTGAGGGCCTTTGCAAACTCCCTCTCACAAAAACAGGCTTTGCAGCACACACACCACGGAGAAGGCTTGCGGTTTCCCTTCCAAGAAACTAATCTTCCGTTAATTTGGTGTGAATAGCACTAGAGTACGTTAATAAAAAGGGAAGTTTGCTTGATAAACCGGTTAACTCGTCATCTACCACATAGGTTAATACACAATAGAGGCTAGAGAATGAATTTTACTTGGCTCATACACGAATGACAAATAAAAACCAGATTTCCGAACCCTCCCTAGTTCATTTTAAACGTGCAGATCTTTAAAAACGGCATATGTAGATGTCAAAACAGAGCAGCCCTACTACAATAGGTTGAAAAATGGAGTTCGCTTGAAAAATCAATTAACTTATCTGAAACATAAACCTTAAATGTTGAACTATAATAGTATGTAGTATATGCATTGAGCACCTTTGAGATAGTTAAAACCAAATTGCTGAGGGATAACATACACCAAGTGCGGTCTTCATAGTCTTTCCATTTTGTAGGACGATTGCAAAAAATGGCCTTGATGACGGCACATACAGATAACAAATCAGAGCAGTCCACTGCAGTCTGTAAAAGAAGCTGAATTAAAGAACCTGTCCATTTAAATATTTGGTTAGAAGGAGATACATATTAGTAACCTATGCAGCAATGCTATGTTTGCCTACACACATGTTTATACAGCTAAACAACTAAGGAAAGTGGTAATTAAAATTCTTCTTTATTATCCTGAAATAGGACATTATAATTAGCATTTTTATCATCTAAAATGTTCGTGAGAAACTGAAATAAGAGAACGACAATGACAAAAAGCAGAAAAAATAGCATAGTTCTTGAATTAATTTTCATTTAGAATTGTTAGGTAAATTTCTGCATATAACAAATATTATGAATAGTTAAGGTAAAAATTGGCGTTAGCCTTGATAAAGATGGCACAGACAAGCACGGAGTTAAATTAATAAGCTCTGATTTGCGTGGATATAACCTAGAAGTCCAACCATAAAATTCAGCGATCAGGACACTAGGCAGTAACTATACTTCACGAGACAAATAGCATGCCCATATTTCCAGAATTCAAACCAGGTAAGCCTCCCGATTCGCTAACCCCATCACCTACTGCCCCTTAGTTTCCATCTCATTTTAAACCTTATTTGACTCATTTCGGTACCCCCTACCATCCATTCCTCCACAAGTTTTTTTTTCATGAGTAAAACTTGTTTACTTTGTGGACATAATAATAATAGTAGACCGTAAGGAATAGGCCAGGCTACCTGTTTTATAAACCAGATAACAAAATACGGCATTAGTGCCCATTCTTAAAGTTCAATATTTATAAAAGTTGTCGCAAAAACTCAATGATATATGCCTAATTGTCGAAATTGAAAAATATACGACTCGGTGTAAAGCGATAACCTTCTTGAATTAAATTGTACCAGGCGCGATCATAAGTGCACATTTATAATGCACTATAAGGCAACAACCCATATTGGGATGTATGCAAATACCCCGAACAAAACGAGGGTAGCACCGTCAAACATACCTTATCCTTACTACTTGTCTTGTCCTTTTCCTTTCGACGTAAATCCGATATGAAGGCTTGGAAAAGAGATTCACGCTCACGAGATTTCTCAATACCCTTGAAGCGTTCATCGCGTCCGTACTTTGAAGAGAAATCCGAATACGACGACCTAGAGCATATCAAGAGGACATAATGAGCACATTTGAATACGAGATAACAAGACGCAAAGACGTCGACGACAGTAGAACATAAAAGGAACCTAAGTAGCAACAATAAGTCTACATTAGCGAAAACTTTAACCAATGAACATATAAACTTGAGTAGCTGCTCTACCTACGCAAATTACAAGATTTACTTCATTAGTAATGTGGATGCCTTCGCGCTATATCAGAAAGCATTCAATAATATAAAAAAGCAACATAAGTGACCATAACTCCCTACCAGTAAATAAAATATTACATTATGAACTCAGATTTGGGATAAAAGGAATAAACTTCCAAACCTACGAAGATGCAATCACAGATTAATTCTATTTGTCCGAGACGTACGAGGAATATAACAAGAAATAAGTTAAAACACTTTCAAACGCAAGTTGTTGCTTGAGATTAGAACTTAGTTTTGGAGGCGACAATTGTACCAGATTATGATTGTAATGAAGACGTAAATCATTTTGAAAGAAGAAGAAAGCGTACATCTGGAATAATAAAACAAGATTCAATGTCACAACAATCACTGAGGGATAGGTTACAAGCACGAGATAGATAACAAACATAAAGCCTCAAATTATCAAAGCAAGAATAAAAGTCTACTATGAAGTGTAGACGAGACAACGTGCAAATGTTAGCATGCACACGGACATTTAAAGTGCCGTCGTAAAACCTGAGTCGATTACTACAACACATTTCACAGCTCTCAAATGTCCCTCCCCCCCCCCCCCACATTTATTTAAATAGCAAAATTAACTCAAAAGATTCGCGTACTTGGAGTTTAGATTAGCCGTAGCAAGAAGTTCGTTGAACTTGTCCTTCTTCTCACGCATCTTGTGTTTCTTTTCGGTTCGCTCAACATCAGCACGCTCCCTTACGTAGCTCTCAAATGCTTGCTTCCTCTCCTCACAGGTCAGCAACAGGTAACGATGATCAAACACGATCTTGTGCAACTCTTTATCCCATGTAGAAAAGGCCGACACCTAAGCAAGAAAAATAAATTGGTTAGAAAAATCGATTGAAAATGAGGCCTTTCAAACACTAAACTTGGACAAATGAGAAGCACCAAAGGGCCTCTCATCTACTGACGATTACAAATTGATGAAGTCGGCTAAATAACCCATTTCTGATAGATCACACACCAATTCTCAAAATAAGTAAACTAACCTGCTTGTCAATCAACATCTGTCGGAATTGCTCAGCGCGGACTTCATAAGGGAGACTGGCCTGATCTTTCGCAGCTCGATCCAACGCTTCCTTCATGGCGTCTTCTCCGATGCGCTCGGTTACAATTTGTTTGGCCTCCTCATCAACTACCATGGCCTCAGGTTTAGGAGACGCGTCCTTAAGAACTGCTGCCTTTTGAATGGGCTCTTCTCTACAAAAAAATATTGCCATTAATTGAAACTTTGACTTTAAGAATTGTTTCCTAAAATAAATTAGGCGGCATAAAAGGTACTCATGGCAACACCTCCGTACCACATCACTTCAGCAGTCAATCAAGCACAATCAAGAGGACAAGCCTGAGTGGTCGTTGAAAATACTTAATCTTCACTACAATAAATAGCCAGATGGAATGACTTATTTCTTCGATATCTGGGGCTTAACACATCGAATCTACATTATACTAATGAGACAGAAGAATTTCAATGAAATATATTGTGACGTAAACTACTACGCCTTCTATTAAGACAGAAATAAACCAATATTATTGCTAAAATTTGTAATTATAACGCAAATTAGCTAATCCAATTATGACCATTGAAAAAAATAGAAGACTGATATGCTCACTGAAGATTCGAAGTCTCAAAATTAACCATAATATTTCAATGTAATCTAATCATTAAATTTCGATGAACGATAGAAAACATGTTCTGAAATTGCTACATGAAGTAATCCTCGAAGTTGTAGAACGAGAGAATAGCATATTAGCAGTGGCAAAGTTGATAGGCCATCAACTTAATGACCCAATGCACACAAAGAGCATGACAGTCTAGAAATAGATAGTACATATCCAGTAAGAAGTCTAAACTGCCGACTTGCTAACCCTATTGTGAAAAGATTTTATGCGCATTGCACTCTTGACAGCCTAAATAGGATAATCGAGTAAAATTGTCACCGACATGCAGTTGTTTGACCTACAAAAGCAATCAAATGAGACTTTTATGAAAAGAAATAGATACAATGGGTTAAAATATCTCTACCTCATAAATTTTGGCCTGAGTCAATAGCTGCCACAGAAACGTGAAATTTTAAAAATTTATCAATACTACCTAATTTCCCATAAGCCAAATAGTTGATTAAGCAAACTTAAAAAATATAATAGGTCAATTTGCAATTTTTTAAAGCGTTGCGAAATCGAATTAAATGATTTAGAAATTTATTCTGTAACGCTTTTTAAAATCAACCCCTTTGATGCTTTTATAGAAATAATTGACTTACAATTTTGGTTTTTTCGAAGGAGGCTCTTGCTCCTCAACAACAACACCGTTATCAATAGCGTCGGTAGACTTTGTGCTATCATCTTTAGGTGAAGATGAAGGATCGCTTTCATCACCTGGAGGCTTTTTAAGCATACGTTCAACATCAGCACGACCTTTCAATTCATCCGGTGTTTCCCAAACACTAATGCGTTTGCTGGGGTTGAAGAAAAAGACTCTTCCATCACCAGTCCACACCACACACCAAGGTGTCCCGGAGACGGCTGTACTGGAGATTGGGCGGCTAGAATCCTTCTGCTGCTCAGGTTCTTTCTTCGGTTCTGGCTCCTTTTCAGCTACTGGAGCTTGTTGCTGAACAACTTCCGGTTTCTTCTCAGTTGTGGGTGTTTGTTGAACTTTAGCAGGTTCGGGTGGTTTACTCTGAACGACAGGCTGTAGACCAAAAAAATCATGATTTAAGTTCAAATGATAAAACTTGAAAGATAAGTAGATTTGATTGACCCACAACTGATAATTCCCAGCACACAAGACAAAAAAAATCCTAGATCTTCCCGTCAGAAAAGGTTTAAAGAACTAAGGACCACTTTAATCAGGGGACGCGTAAACATGGTTGCTGTAGTAAAGTGAGGAAAGCTAATTGGAGAAATTAAATAACCATAAAACCAAAGAAATGAGATATTATAAAGCATGAGTGATGCAAGCGAAAGTGTCAGCAACTTCGCCAACCAGGAGGCAAGCACTCACAGCCGCGAAAACTAACTTGAACATATAGTGAGTCAATGAGAGGGCATGATCCGATATATACCTTTCTGCGAGCCTATGCCACTTAAGAGGGTAGTGGCCATTATGAGAAGTGGTCACTTTCTAACTTACTTAGACTATTGTAATCTCTAAAGTATTAGGCATTTAGAACGAAAAGTACTTAAACTGATGAAAATATCAAGCTTTTATGAAGCACCAAAACTCAACTACGGAAAGTTATATCCCCTTTTCCAAATCCGATCTTTAATAAAAACTCAAAATGATTCTATCAAACCTAATAAAGAAACTATTTGACTAAGAGTATCGATCACATCATAAAACCTTACAGTTGTTTGAGCGACATTTGAAAAAGGAGGCTCAACAGGAGGTTTGGGCTGATCTTCAATCTTCTTGAAGCTATCTATAAAATATAAGAAACGTTTACCATACTTATTGCACAAAATGTACTAAGGAAAATTTATTAGAAAAACTTACTCTCCCAATCAATGATAACCTGCGGCTTATCCCAAGTCGTTTGATTACTTTGACTATTATGGTAGTACGATTTTCCCTCTCCACTCTTATACTCCGTCCACGCGGCAACTTCCGGAGGCTTAACCGGCACAGGGTTCGCTTGAATACTAGGACGTGGTTGACCAACGACAGACGTAGGAGCTGCTTGATAAGTTGTTGCAGATGCAACTGCAGGTTTTTCAACATCACCATGTCTAATCACTGTGACACGTTCCGGTTTATCCCACCTAGTTTCACGAGTCTGCATGTTGTAGAAGTACACTTTTCCATCCGCGGCGGTATGTTCAACCCAAATCTCATCACGAGGGTTGGTGGGTTGAGGGGGGGGAGCGCTTATTTGGTGTGCTCCCGAGTAACTGCCACTAGGTGGTGGCTGTTGTGGATTTGGTGGAGGAGGCATGCTGTACATACCACCACTACCACCACCCAAAGGTGGTGGTGGACCACTATGCATTATTGGTGGAACAGGAGGAAAACCCATAGGTGGTGGTTGCATATAAGGCCTACCAGGGGGTCCATTGTGGTTGCCCACGGCTTGTGTTGAAGATGGCTGCATCCCTTGTTGCTGTTGATAGAGATTTGGCTGCTGCTGCGATGGTAGTTGGCCATACGGTGGGGGCATCCCACCGAAAGGAGGCTGCATCGGGGGTGGTGGCATTGGACCAGGTCCAACGGGCATATTTTGACGTTCATCACTGTCTGAGGAGGCCGAGAGTGGTAAAAGAGGTCCACCTCCGTTTGGAGATGATTCATCATGATGACCCATTTGAGACATGTCACTATTGCCTGAAGTAAGCATTGGATGAGGAGGGGGCATAACCCCATATGGTGGTTGACCATTGGGAGGTGGCCCTCCAGGTTGACCTATAATTTAATAACAATTAATATGGAGCGGACATTTACTTAAATATATCTTAACTCAGTTATGGAAATAAGCTGCTTTAAATGATTTAGATCAACATCTAGCTTTCTCAACCTTGAAAAAAAATCAATGAATATCAAAACCGACCATTCTAATCAAAAAAATAGCATTGGACATTGTAGACGGGAAATTGCTCAGTATTAAAGTGGGGAATAAGGGCACTTGAATCAACTATTAAGTAAATACAGTATAGCTCGATTCCATAAATCGGCTGAGATAACAAGACGGGATTAACCACAATAGCTCGAACGCCACTTTAACGCTACTTGCAGGACTCGTTGTTGAACGATTTAAAAATTTCCCCCATCGTAAAAAATTTTTAATTAAATATTACTGCAGGCACAGATGCGTGAATGAATAAACATCTCAGAAAATTATTTCGAAGTCAATTCTCTCACCTAAAGTTGAGCCGATAAACGACACAATGGCTCAACGGTAAACACCGAATGTATGAAACTAGAACGCTTTCAAAGTTTCAAGATTGAATCTCACCAAGCGGTATTAAAATTTGTATTAACGCAAATAAGCAACTTCCAAAAAGCGAATCTAATTTAAATATCAATATGACCAGTCATTACAGCCTATTTGAATATACAGCAAAAGTACTCAGGGAAACAGAAAAGAGAAAATATCATTTGTAAAACTATAATGGTAAAAATCAATCAAAGAATAAACATAATGTGCAAGAATAAGGCAACAGAATGCATTTCAGCTTAAATGTTTAAATAAGGCTAATGCATCCAGTAGAACAAACAGTATAAATTATAGAAGTCTTAATAAAAATTTGTTGAGCAACTCTAGGGAAAAAACTGATAAGACCATCATCATAATTCAGGAATCAAGGAACCAGAAGGAAGAAAAAAGAAACTAATAAATATATTTCATGGTTGTGAATCAAAGATAAAGATGTAGCCCAAACATAATTAAAAATACCATATGAACTTAAGATATTAAACAATTAATGAGGGCATCCCTCGTTAAAATCAGAAAACTTCGAAAGCTCTATGCCCCCTTTATAGTCTGTAAGTACAATTAGTCCAACTTATCGAAAGAAACTAGAGGCCAAAAGGCAATATACTGATATACTCTTAATCAACAGTTATTTCTCATGATGAAAAACCTGAATTATATGAATCTGGAAGTCATCTCGTGAAAAAAACAGCGCTTACCGTCATAAGACATATCTTGCCCACCCGGAGAAAATTGTGGATACTGACCTCTGGGAGTCATGTAGCCAGGTCTTGGAGGACCATAAGGACCCGGTGGGCCCATATCAGAAGCAGAAGGGCCACCATTCATCATTCTAGGTGGACCACCCATGAAATGTGGACCCGGTGGCATTCCATACCCTCTAGGAGGCATCGGACCACGATGGTGCATATTTGGTGGCATATTAGGAAAGTCGTCTGGCGGGAAGCCATCTTGATCAAAGTAACCATCTGGATTATCATCACTATCAACCATTCTGGGAGGATACCGTTGTGGAGGATACCGTGGTGGCCCTCTAGTCGACATATCAAAAGGAGGTCGCTGTGGGCCATCAAAAGGTCTCGGTGGACCTCTATAATTCGGCATTCCCATTGGTCGCATTCCATGATGGCCAGGTCTAAAGATAGGATTAAAAAAACAGGCATATACCTCATGCCCATCGGTCGTTGTGGTCGCATTATTGGGCCCCTATATGGCATCGGTGGCATATTAGGTGGCTTCATACCAGGACGAAATGATTGAGGCATATTGGGACGGGGTATTCCTTGAGGTGGGCTAAAAAATAAGCAGCGCAAAATTTTGTTGCATACCCATAATTTGGAATAAATTGTTTTGAATCAGGACTTCCATCATCTTCGTCAATAGGTTGCTCTTGCATACGGTCAATATTAGCATCCCCAGACATTTTCAGATTAAACGAAACAAGCAGAAAATTTAACCCATTCAAACACAGCATGGTTTATTAGAATTAGTTTAAAGTAAAATGTTATAAAATAAACCGTGATAAAATCAATTACCATATGCAAAATATTTAATCAAAGCTAATTTAAGTTAAAAAATAATATTTTATAATTAAATTATGCTTATTGGTATTTAAATTGTTCCTGAATAATATGTCTTTTATTTTTACTTTTTAATAAAATTCCATTGTTCTCCACTGAAAATAAAATCTCCTGTAATAATGATTTAGAGTTTTTAATTCGGCACAAAAGTCCTGTTTGATTTATATTTACTGTCGTATGTTGTGCGATAGACTTACCTCCACGTGATGCGCCCTGGTCAGCGTATACTCATACGGTAAAAAAGTCTATAAACCGGTCGTTGACTTCTGACTTCAAACTACCATGACCTCACTGTATGTCATATTCGACCACCTCCACAGTTCTCTTTTTGACTTTTCTCTACCTTTGTGTCTGTCTGTCTCTTATACATCCGTGATTCACTCTCCTGTTCCCCCTCTAATTTTTCTCACTTTGATGTTCCTTCCCTCTATGAAGCCCGAAGTCAGAACAAGGGCCGATGATCAAAATGCCTGTCATTTGAAATAAATATTTATCGTCGTATAACAGCTCTTTCCATAAAACTCAAGTTCATGACATTTCTATCTTCTCTCTCTTAAGTGTGTCACTTCTCAACATTATGAATAGTAATTAAACACTTGTTTCACTTTTCATAGGAAATTCCTAGATCTTAAAATGAAATCATTTCTCGGTTTATCCATATGCTAAATATTGAAATAACTTTGAAAGAATTAAATCTCAGATGACACCCGGATTTATTAGGTGCTGACAAAATTGTGACATACATAAATTTAAGTAAATTGTAATTTCATAAATTAGGGTAAAAGGTTTTGAAGCAATGTGAACGGGAGTCAAAGAACAAATAGGCTAAGTCACTCGTGTCTTGGTCAGCACGTAGGTGTTCGGGAATCCACCCCACTTTGTTTACGAATCAAATTTTGTTTATACCCTAACATAACTTCACAAGATGACGTTTCATCATCATTGGTGGTACCTATGTCTGCATCGACGTCCACATAAGCACATAACTGTTTTTAACATGAATAGTATTCTTGAAGTCTTTACATTTCTGCCCACCAGGTGCCAATTGCCATTTACTACACATAATAGATTTTGCTCTAGTATTTTGCTACTATTTTTAAGCGTCAATACATAAGATACGTACGACCGAAGCGCTCGTCATCGGAACATATTAATCTTACACCCAAAATTATAAGGCCTGGAGATAGTTTGAATAAATTAAATAAATATGTGTATTTGTTGATCCAAAAATTTTAATTGCGTCAGAATAACATTCGAAATTTATCAGTGGGAGGATGAATGAGGATAAGGGCAACATGAAAAAAAAGGAATTCATTTCATATGAATTTGTTTCCATGAGCCAAAAGGTTTTGTCTGTTTCTTTATTGACAATGGTGAGGTGAAACGCAACACGTAATGGGGTCCTCCAGCCTTATCATTTGTTCCTGTAAAACAATAAGAAAATAATAGGCCTATGGTAAGTGGGTAAATCCGTTTTTAAATTTATGCAGATGGAGCACGACAAGAGAAAAAAAAATAATCAACCACATGATGAGCGTGTTAAAACTATGTACCAAATAGGCTGGACGGATTCAGCCAATCGAAATAATAGATGACTATATGATTGAGTTAAAGGTACGAGGGAGAAATAAAAAACTAATAGGTCAAAATGGTTCGAATATTAAATAGTGCGTACAATTTTAGTATGTCAAAATGTGCCTCGTGCAAACTTACCAGACAATCGAGCACCGCCAAAGGGCTGATTTCCCACCACAGCACCTGTTGACTGTACATTGATGTACATATTACCCACAGTATCGATCATTCTATCCATGAAGTACTCAATGAAAGTCTCATCTTCAGCAAACAATGAGCCTGTAGAAGAAGAGAATAAGCAAAATGATTAGGGCGACAGCTGAATCAGTGGAATTATTCATTTAAAACCGAGAGAAAAAAACCTGTCAAGCCGTAGTCGCTGGTGCCGTCAACGAGGTCAAGAGTTTTTTCAACTTCATTGTCCTCGTAAACATAAACACAGAGAATTGGACCAAAGATATCGTCCTTGGTTTGAAAAGAAAATATAGAAAACACTATAATTTTAATCTACCAATCATAAACTAACCGAATAAAACTATAAGCTAATGAGTTAAATTAGTCCTGTGCCAAGTAGTCAGTCACGCTCCAAAACGGTCATTCAGGTCACCTCTGCAAACTTGCATTCAAACATGATGACGGTCTTTAGTATGCACCTGCGTCTAGTACCAGAGACAGCATACATTTTAAAGAATTATTCCATTATTTAGTGCATTCTTGGTGCTATTCCATTTCTTGGTACTGTGCCCTATAAAGCTAGTTGAGTGTTTTGCCGGAATAATTCCAAATACAATCACAGAGCTTTTAATTGCACATGTTCACCTGTTAAATGACTTAGTAATTAAGTTACATTAAGCAGAAAATAATTTGCTATTGGTATATTGTTTAATCCATTCCAATAATTTTGAATTAATATGCAGAAATAAACTATCCAAGGGAAGATTTATAATTTTCCGACTTTGCAAATGAGATTTTATACTAGATGAAAGTAGTGGAATTAAACAAAAAACACAGCAGTTATATAGACAATCTACCAAGAAAGTTGACATAGGGACATTCGAAGTAAGCTTGGGAACTAGCGTGAAAGTAGGCACACCAGGCCAGAGAATGAGGAAAGGGGGAAGCAAGCATACCGAGGTATACTCACTTTCAATCCCTCTCCCCCATGTACCTGAATGTTTCTTGGTCATTATCGTTACCTTTCATACATCTTATAGGCTGCATGTCTTTTCCTCATGCCTTTATAACCACTAATTTTTGACAGAAGTTCCTGCAAGATATTCCGCATCCATTTGCTTCAAATACTGACCGCAAAATTTCCATATTTAAGAGAAAATTTCACGAACTGTTAATATATCACCCTTATAATTTAATGAATAGTTTAAATTACTGTAGAAGGCTTGAGGTGTGGTTGTGGTTAAATTTTATAACGGCAAATGAGATATGCATTACCTTAAAATTGTGATACTTGTATACGATAAAAGACAATAGTGCATGCAAAATGAAGAAATGCTGAATAATACAGATTCTGAAATGCATTAAGCGATAAAACAGATTCAGCTACCTTCATAATCTTATTACTCGGATCCTTCGTCTCATAAACAGTTGGTTGAATGTAGTAGCCAACGGAGTCGTCATAGGTTCCACCGGCGATCAGTTTCATGTCCTCACACTTGTTTGCATAGTCAATATATTCGGCAATTTTTGTGAAGGCCTGGAAGATGAAAGATGAATGTTTGTCCAAGCTGAGACTCCCAACTAGACCAGTATTTCAAATAATTGTGTCATGGACACACACACACACCTTGCCAAAATTATAGGACTTACAGCCTTGTCAATAACTGCGGATGTAAAAGTCTCCTTTTCTAGTGGTGAACCGATCTTCACATCCTTAAGTAGTTGAACTAACTGATCACGAATCTGTGGCCACAAGGATTGAGGAACATAGAGTCGACTGCAAGCGCTGCATTTCTGTCCCGTGTATTCGAAGGCACTTCGTAAGGTGGCCAATGCAACCCTTTCAGGACTTGCACTTGAATGAACGAAGTGATAGTTCTTTCCACCACATTCTAGAAGGTTGAAATATATAAAAACGATGTGAAAATAAACCAACCTCCGATAGCTCGAGGATACGTTTTGAAGCGTTCCAAGTTGTCGGCTATGTTCTGCAAAACGGTTCGATAGGTGCTACATGGGATAATATTGTATAAAGTAGAGGCTTACTTTGTGCTTCCAGTAAAGTTTATTCCAGCGAGGTGGGGATTACCGCAAATAACCTTTCCGAACCTTGGGCCAGGTGTGGGAATAAAATTGATGACACCGGCGGGTAATCCCGCTTCTCTAAATATTCTAGAAGGAACAGAATAGCAGGACATCGTAATAAATCATGTCCAAAAAATATTTCTGACCCATTTTGAGGCAGAGTACCTTGAGTAAAGCGCTATTCTAGATTTTAAGAGTTATTCTATGGTGGAAAGTAATAAATCTGATCAAATTAGTAATGAGTGGATGGCAACTTGGATAAAACTAGAGGCCATCGACTTCAATCGAAGTGCATGAGCATCCAGATAGTATTTGATTCCCGTATTTCCAAACACTCTTGGACATTAATGCCAATTTACAGTTTATGAATGCAAGGCTCTTATTTAAAAATAAAGGCACGGTGGTAGGATACACTCTCATGGATAACTAAAACCTCATCTCTTCAAAGGTCATGTCTATGCTATTTAAGCTGAGATGGTCAACATTTTAACAGCACTGTTTATGAAAAAGCTAGCTACCTGTTAAACATCAAATTGACGTTTATAAGACTGTTTAATATAATATTCGAATGATTATATATTTCGAGTAGAGACCGACGTGATTTGAAAAGACCCTTAATATTCACCAACTGAACTGAGATTCGATAAATTAATAACAATAAAGATAATTTCCTAATCCCTTTTCAATGAGCTACCTACTCAATTCAGTAGATACTCGCTTTTGGGTCCATTAAGCTATGTTTCTATGTGATTTAAATATATTTTATCTCATCTTCTCACACGTCTGTTTTTTACTGATCAGAATGCAAATTGAAGAGGAGACTTACTTGTAGATAAGGTAATTCGAATAAGATGAGGAGTCAGAAGGCTTCCAGACACAAACATTCCCCATAATAACAGGAGCAGAAGCCAAATTACCCGCAATAGCAGTAAAATTGAATGGTGGTAGCGCAGCCCAGAATCCCTCTGTAGGACGATAGCGGAGAGTATTCGTGCAGTCGTTCCCATCCAGTGGTTTATAAGCCATAGCATTATAGGCAAAATTAATATTGAAACGTAGGAAGTCAGCTAATTCAGCGGCAGCATCAATCTCTGCTTGGAAAATGGTTTTCCCTTGTCCAAGCATTGTGGCTGCGAGTAAGTCATATCGATACTTCCCGGAAATCAAATCCGCAGCTTTGAGAAAAATGTCAGCTCGCTTTTCGAAAGACGTACGAGACCAATAGGCACGGGACTTCAAACAGGAGTCAATGGATTCTGCTATTTGTGCCTCACTTCCCATGTGATTGGCAGCAAAGACGTGTTTTTTATCGAAGGGCTGAAATTCAAATCGTATTTACTCTAAATTATTTAGATTCTCGATATGTTCACAACAATGACTAGTGTCATCGTAAAGGGTGCATTAAAAATTCTTGATTTCATGTTAAAGCATTTCAAATGTCTGGTAGGGTACCAGTCAAAATAACTTCAATAGGACTTTCTAACATTGAGCATATTACAGTAGCATTCAGGCGTGAATTTTTATAAAGGGCAATTAAGAAGTAAGTTTACACTATCAACTTGAATGTAATACAATTTTTATTGGTTAACTAAGTGGGGAAAAATTTACCAGTAGGCCAAAATGTCAGGGGATTTTTGGGTGCAATCATTATTATTTTCGTCGTGTGATCGCTAAAAATTATACTTTAAAAGTACGCTATAGTAACTATCAATTGTGCAATATCTAGAGAAAAAAATTGATCAGTCTAGTGTTTCTAAACATGACCGCAATTTCGCCCAGTTACGGAAATTAATAGAACTGATGAAAAAATAGGAAAATCAAGAAGTTTGGTCGATCAGTATGGTTAGCTGTAAGCACCATCAATGCCGCATAAGCAATAGAAGTCAATTAAAAAAAGATTGATTATAACTGTCAGTTTTCGGCATTAAAAATGAAAGAGAGAGGATGCCAGGAATGAAGTAATGAAATTTCGAATCAAGTAAATATCTGAAAAAAAGATATTACTTGTCAATTTTGTTGCGTTATAAAAAATTTTCTTACGTAGACATGCTCATGGTGTTCATTGGTAAGGATTTCACGATCTCCTATACAAACGGGAACGGGGTTAGGGGCACTCGATTGCATTTTTGAAAGTGACGCTTCGAGTTTTTCACGTTCAGGACTTCCAATGGCATAATCCTTCAAAGGCTCATTTGTAGCAGTATATCCTCGCGAAGCAGATATTAGATTCAGTCGAAAAAAAGAGGAAGATTTCCTTGATAATTTAAAAATTATGACTTCTGTTATGTGTTACAAACATAAGTTAATAATAATTTGTAAATGACATCTCGAACATAAAAAATATATTGAAATTAATACATAATAAAATGTTATTCATTCTTCAAACTTAAAAGAGGTAAATAATCTTACAAAGCTTAAAGCTTACAGGATCACTGATCGAAAAGCCATTTTGACCACGCCGGAGTTAACAAGAGACAGAAGACAGATGCGTTTTCTAAACAGCCCCCACAAACTCCTAAGGTCGCTCAATCAAAAGGCAGGTTGATTAAAGGTCGTTATTTCGAGATGTACAAAACACTTGAAGCCTTTCGATAAGATTTTGATCGAAAAATTTTTTTCTTTCATATTTGAAATTATTTTCTTCTGATTTCGTCATAGATCATATAAAATTGAATTGCACAATTTTCGCTGAAACTACGAGCTGTTTAACTCAAGATTATTTATTTTATTTCATAAAATAATGCTCTCTTGCTCTCAAAGAGACTGAATTTTTCGAAAATCGCATTAAATTTTTAAACCATAAAATCTAAAGTAGCGGTTTTTTAAGAAGTGATTCCAATTATGAGGGAGCAATTCAATTATGTTGATAGGGAAATTCTATTAAGATGTGATCAATATCCTAATCGAAATGAACTCATGAAAAAATAAACACACAAACAGTCCTTCTTGCACAGTAAGTAGTGGAGTGTTGAAATTGTTGCTATTGGTATTGAGATCTGCCCAATTTAAAGTTTACCTTTTCCTACCACAAATATAATTCTCTTGGGATAAATAGGTCTGAAATGAAAGTCTATTCTAACCATATAAAGGTGAACATTTCAAAGAAAGAAATGAAGTTTAAGGGATGAATATAGCAGTGAACATTGAATACAACACAAATTTGGGTAACTAAATGGCAAAATTACAATTATCACAGGTGATTAAATGTATAGATCCTTCATCAGTTATATACAAATTTAATGAAAAAAAAAGTTCAATGATTTTTCAAAAACGATTTTTCCAATGAGAAATACTATCTATCAATTGTTCTAAAAATGAAAGTGATTTCGCAAGGATATTTTTGTCAAACTTTGATCTTGTTATGCTACACTGCGTTATATTCAGGTTCTCAAAATGCTTAAAAATGCATATTTTTTTAGCACGTCACAGTTACTTAGCCTGGCATGAATATCATTTTATTCAAGATCAAAAACCCATTATCCTTGTAAATGCCAGTTTAGAAAACCAAATAGTCTGAGCCTCATTTTGAATTGAATTTGTTTTATCCAGCTCAATTTTATCATGCATACAAAATCCGTTCCATCTCTATTAGAGCAATACCAATGTTCAAATGAGTTCAACATTGGATAGCCCATCAGTAAAGTCATAATACCATCATTTTTTAATCATTATCAATACGAGCAGGATTGGGGTTTTGCAAGATTTCACAAAAGTGCATAATGCAGCACAATCTGAACACCCGGCATACACAGAGAGATGAAGTGTAGCGGAGCCCTCAATAAATTCCACTAATCACTGACTCACAGTACCGAGGCTATTTCACACCCTATCTCAGTTACCAATACGCCAATGCAGAATTTTAATCTAATCTTACCAATCTTGCCTTTTTACTCATCTCTCCCCGATACTTCTAACCATGTAAACTCTATTACTATAATTTAAATTATAATTTTATGCATTCTAGTCACTCTTTCCCTCCCTTCGACCATTACTAATATGCAAGAATCCCATCCCTGTATTAGCTCCGAATGCTTATAGATGGAAATAATGGTAGAATATAGATAATACCCCCTTAAGAACATTTCAAAGCGACAAAATTTTAAATAATTAAAGTAGGATGGGAAAATAGTTTCAGAATAAAAAAATCGGTTATCCTCAATTGAACAAGTAGCTCTTAACTCTAATGTGGAAGAAAATTCCCAGAAAAATTTGAAAATGACTTATTAAAGCATGATAATAGTAAAATACTTCTCCTTAAAATTCCCAAGAGCTTCAATAGTGAGTAAAAATTGTCATCGGCATACTATAAAGTTTAAATAGATTCTGATTAATTACATAAGTACATGTTCTAATCTATGTAAAAATTGGTCATGAACTTGCAAAACCCAAAATGCAAGGAATTACCGGGAATTTCTTTAAAGCCAAATTCAAGCCATACCCATCCTCTGTAACAATTGCTCCTGTAATAATGTTTTAAAATGAATTAAAGTATTGCTAATTTTTAAATATTATGATGACAAAACCGTGCTTAAGAGAAATTCAACTTTTTTAAATCTTCAAAATTCTAAAACGTCCATGGTTATGAAAATTAGATCGTTCACAGAAAGTCAAATTAAAAGTATAATCCCACTAATCCTATTGATGTGAACAAACTACTTTGTTTCAAGCATCTCTGATTGTTTCGAACGGTTAGCTTTAATATTATATTGTTACTGAAATTAATGAGTAGTATGTGTTTCTAAACAATGTACGAACTCTAGTTTTTGAATTTCAAATTCAAATATTTAAATCTTGCAGTAACTTAAATTATAATTTGACTTTAAGACACAAGTAATGTAAGGCATAAGAATACATAAAATTGGTCTTTAGAAAACCGAAACTATGAAAGATGTAGTTAGTTCTATACTGTACCTTTCAAGAATTCAATGGTTCTCAGAAATTAGGTACCATTTACTTAGGTTGACTGAATTACCATAATTGTTAACTTTTTGGCAAAAAATGGAGACTTAGTATTGTCTGCTACCAAGATGAAAGTTCCCCTACCTTACACTTTCGATTTAATTCCAATAATAGAACGCTGAAATGACTCTTTAGCTGTCAATCTAGTTACAGTGTATAGCATTTTAATTAAACGACAATTAAAAGGTTCACGTCTCGAGAAAGAAATGTATAGCATTTTAGTGGTCTCTATTCGCGGATGGTTTAAATGAATGCTAAGAGGATAATAATTTGCCTCTTCAAATAAGCTGACTCGAATTCGCACAAGAGTCGAATTACTTCAATCATTTCTATAAACCCAAAAAAATTTGGCATATTTTTCCACGTTGTCAAATATTTAAATGAAGCATATTTCTTCAAGTTTCATTATCTCTAGTAAGAAAATTTATCATCCATTTATAAAACCTTCTAATATACAGTTCATATTATACTTCGATGTTACGTAGGCCTTGATATCAATATCAACAAAATGTGATATTGCAGTTAACAAGGTTTGAAAACGCTGTTAATGTGCGTTGAATACCACAGTGGAGTCGTTCTCTTTCTTAAAGACATGTTTGACCTCTTCCAGCTGTGTATTAAAGTTCAATTTAATTCTCCAATTGATTCTCTCAAACAAATGGAAAATTGTCCTTCCCAAAGGAGAGGAATTTTACATGCGTCACTCAATCCTGTTCATAGATATTCTATCTCAATAATATGGTTTGACCTTTACGAAGATAGTTTTAGACTGGGTATGACATATGAGAAAAACTATTACTTGCATGCAGAACAAAATTTTGCAATTGAGTATGTTGGGTCAAAACAAAGAAAGCATGTTGGGGTTTCGCAATCGCATGGTCTCCCGAATTCCCAGATTGTGAAAACCGTGAGACAAATTGTTATTATTATGTTGAATAAATTGGAGGCGTGCATATGGAATAAGACGTGGTGATTGGCGTGCCTAACTAAGAGTAGAATATTCGCAAAATCTGCTATTTTGTTGTGTGGTTGAGATTAAGCCTAGCCTCAAAAATCTCCACTACTCGCAACCATCGGGTGTTTAAATCACTCTAAGTATTACATCTATTCAACGATCTCTGAAGTGGCCTCGGGGTGAATCACTTTGGAGTTCTCAAGCTAGTGTGATGGTATGGAGTGTGGTCTGTTTCTCTCATTTATTCCAAAAAATTGGCTTTTTCGAAATTTGAATCAACTTCAAGGAAAAATTTATTTTGGCCAAATTTTGTCAATTTTGGCTCAACTGAATAGAACTTCAAGGTGATAACAGTCAAAAATCCATCAACTATTGATTGAATTAAGCTAGTTGTGTAATCAGATTCGCAGCAGTTGGATAAATTATCGCAATTTCATCAGCTTAATTTACAACCATTTCAGTAATTCTTCGTCAAAAATTGATTTCAATAAAAATTTTTCTTGATTTAGATGAATACTGCCTTCTTGTTGAAAATTTAAGAAAAAAATTGGCATTTATAGTTAGTCCGCGTGAAACGAGCTTTACTTCAATGCCAAAGAAAACGAACATCAACTAGAGAAATATCACTACATAGTTTCGTAATAAGTGAGATTGAGTAATACACAGAGGGGGGGGGGTAGGTGAGGAATTCTGATACTCCTTTGTACAAATAATACATTTTTTCCCTTACGCCATCAAATCGATGCTCTCTTTCTTCAGATGATAATTAACATAGAAAATAATGTCATAGGTATATCAGTCAGAGTTTATTGCTTTCAGCGAGTGACTGGCAGTTGGAATCAGTTATATTGCTCAGGCGCAGTACTGTGTCGTGCTGTGCGGGTTGGTAGAACACGATTCGAGAGAATTATTTTTGAAATCACCTTCAAACTCGGCGCATTACGTCACCTTATCCTTTTTATTCTCCACCTACAATCAGGCTGAGATTGTGCGCAACTACAGCTATAAAATTAATGGATGAATCCAGCTGCACAATCTCCTTCAAGAAATCAACCCACATGTAATGAAAATAAACTTAGTTCGTTAAAACTACCGTAAAATATTTTATTTGCCTAGTGGTAAATTAATGAAACTTAAATCAGAAGTAGCAACGGAAAATTATGAATATGAATAGGTAAACCAATTTCTCAAGGACTAATAGTCAGATGGCATAAACCAGACTGAAGAAGTTTCTCATGAGTTTAGGTCATGTAACCCTTAGGCTGAAAAACTTCAACATTTTCCCGATAGATCTAATAATTATCGATTTTATGTCCATAATGTATTTGTTAAACAAATTAATTACTTCACTGATCATCTTGCAGTACATTAGAGTGGTTGGTGAAATTGATTGCTTATTTAGTTGATAGTTCTGTCACCAAAGGGATCAAATTGTGCAACACCTTTTCGAAGGTGCTGTTGACGGCTCTTCGTGAATGCTAATATAATTAAATAAGTGCTTGCATGTTCCAATTTGATATGCACACGATTTTCT